TTTTTGTGATTCGACGGCAGCCACACCGAACACGGTGTCATTCCGAGGGCTGTACAAGGTTAACGGGAGAGAATTGAAATCGGGCATTTTGTGATTTCGATAGAAGAAACTACGACGAATCGAATGACGTATAGATCTTGATCATCGGGTACATCGTTTACGAGTTATCACCACTTAAAGAAGGTCAATTTTGTGTTATTTTCGTGTATCTTCGCATTATTTTGACGTTTTAGCGAAATTCGAAAGAGTTTTCAAATTTTCACGGGCATTTCCACTTTCGTATTGGCCAAGGATTAAGCTTTCGAATGAGACATTATTTATCGAAATCGGTTCACTGGTTTTCATGTTATAATCAAAATACTATACATGTAAAATGCTATTTAATTGGGGGCTAACTTCACATAGGTGTTATTATGAATAAATATGTTGTAATCTCAACAAGTTTAGTGAAAATAACTTTTTATTTTGTGCGCGGGTATAAATTAAACAATTTCAGGTTAGGATTTAATACGAAAATGCATATTTAACATTGCTTTGAACTTCCAAAAAGAAACGTCAAATCGCAACTTTAAAGTGATTTTTCGGTAAGTACTACACTTTTCCGCACTTTTTTTTTATCATTAACACATCTTTTGAGTCATTTCCTACCGATTAAAAAAAAAATCATCGATTTTTAAGTGGGACAGGTATTCTTTAATTATTCCAAAAATTATCATCACACTACAACAAAATACAACAAAATTCAATCTTACGTTTTTGGTTGCCACAACTTTTCTTCGCTCGCTATATCAACGAATTCTTGTTGAAGAACAGCTGGGGTAAATTGGATTAATTCATCATCAACTAATCCTAAATCATCATTATCAACTGCACACTCATCACTAATATTTTCACAAAAAAAATTATAAGCGTCCGCAGCCGACCGTTTTCGTTCATTTTCGTATTTACTCAAAGAATTTTCAATAGCCACGTTTTCTTGTCTCATTAACTTCAAGATTAATTCATAATTATGTTTGGTGTTTTTCGGGGTTGTTGCAACTTGTTCTTTTATCAATCGAAACCTTTCCTTTATTTTTTCTTTGTAGCTTTTCGATTCCGGTTTATTAATATCTGTCGAGGTCCTCCTTGAACTCGAAGCTTCAGAAAATTCTTCCGATACACTTTCAATACACTCATTCAATACACCTTTTGATGCACTCATTTTAAGTTTTATTCGAGGACGTGTTGTATGTTTAGTTATACTTGACGTGTAGGGGGAATTTTTTGCTATGGTTACCACTTTGTAAACGGGCAGGTGTAGGTTGAAGGTGAAAATAAATCGATATTAAAGAAATTAGTAACTTTTTTTAATTTATTTAAAAGTAGCGTTATATCAGTTAATTGACCATTGATGTTTGATTTTATGCATGTAATTTTTTCGCCTTATTTTACTTCAAAAAATTTAAAAAAAAATAAAATGTTGATTTCACATTTAAGTATGGCGCAGACGGAATAGTAGAAAGTTTGGCTTGACAGCGTTTATATACAACCCATATAAGTAACCTAGGAAAGAACTGCAGATCTCTATAATTGGAAATACTTCTATCAGTGCTATCCCAGATATACTGACATAAAGTGAACTTCAGTTAAATCTTATACGTTGAAGACAAGAATAGATAGAGAGCATGTGTATAGAATGGAGGATGGAAAAGACTTCCAAGGCAGATCACCTAAAAGATGGCAAAAAACTGGATATCCAAGTATAACAAGCATCTCAAGGGGCTTAATAATTCATAACAAAAAACGCAGTACTTTGTCTTAATAAACAAGAATAAGAAGTTTAGTTGTAAACATCGGTGCAATCTAAGGGAGAGGTATATTTCTTTTTAAAGTTATCGACCCGAGACTTGCAACGAATGGCTCGCTCACATGTCGAATTATATTAATTAATTCTATTAATTCAAAATTTATATAAAGTTGTCTAAAAATTATCAAAAAGTTTCAAAATCAGTTTAAAATTATTTAATAGCCCAAAATTTGATCAAAATCATTTAATGTTGACAAAACTTTAAAAAAAATTGTCTAACATAATAAAAATGTGTCTAAAACTATGTAAACTTATGTAATTATTTGTAAACTTGGATTAACTTTCACAAAATATTGTATAAATTATCCAGATTTGATTAAGCCTTTACAAAATGGTCCAAATTTGTCCAAAATTGTGAACATAAGCGTAAAAAAATGGTCTATAATGATCAAACTGTGTTTAAAATTATGTAAACTGGTATATAATTCAAAAACTTTTTTCAAAAACCAAATGGTATATAATTATTTAAAATCGCAAAATTTGTTCAGATTCATCGCTTTACAAAATTGTCTAAAATGATTCAAATTGTCTAAAATTAAAAACTAGTAGTAACATTAATACTAACCCTAGAACTAACACTAAACCTTGAATTAGAAATTTTCGAGTTTCGTCATGCATCTTTTGAAAAAGCGTTTAACATGGCATCCGAAACGTCAAACGCTTTTTCGAAATTTTCTAGTGCTAGCGATGGTTCTAGTGTTAGTGCTAATGTTACTTCTAGTTTTAGTTCATTTTCATTATTTTGTAACGTTTTGATAATTTTAGACATAAACAATTTCGACAATTTTGTACAAATTTTGCAAAGTTTAGATAATTTTAGCACATTTGGTCATTTTAGGTAGTTTTGAACAAGTTTGGACGAGTTAATTGTAGACGAAGTAGATAATTTTAGATGCATTTTGAATATTTTAGCCACATTTTGATCATTTTAGACAGCTTTGAACAAGTTTTGACAAGTTAATTGTAGACGTAGTAGATAATTTTAGACAAATTTTACGCTTTTAAATCAGTTTGATCAAGTTGACATAATTTTAGATACGTTTTGAATATTTTAGCCACATTTTGATCATTTTAGGCAGTTTTGAACTAGTTTTGACAAGTTAATTGTAGACGAAGTAGATAATTTTAGACAAACTTTGCGCTTTTAAATCAGTTTGATCAAGTATACATAATGTTGGATACATTTTAAATATTTTAGCCACATTTTGATCATTTTAGACAGCTTTGAACAACTTTAGACAAGTTAATTGTAGACGAAGTAGATAATTTCAGACAAATTTTGCGATTTTAAATAATTTTGAAAAACTTTACATAATTTTGAATATTTTAGCCACANCGAAGATAATTGCACTTGCTGGTTTTACGATATTTCCAATTTTGGCCTCTAGGGGAAAAACAAAAGACGATAGCGCTATGAGGTTTTCGGCATTAGCATGAATCAAATGATCATGACATGTAAGCTACTTTTTTTCTAACTCTTATAGTTTCCGAGTTAGCCTATTCGGACATCGAATTTGAACCACCCTGTACACGTCATAGATTCGGATTTAGCAAAAAACTTAACTTTTGTACCGTTCATGTCTCGACTGGAATGGAGTAATTTACTGCTACGCAGTTCGTTGGAGTGTTTTCTTATTATTTAGTGAAAATTTCACATTTCTATCTTACTTTGTCGCTTTTCTATGATCAGCAAAATTGCACCATAACTTCACGGACAAATATTTTCTTTAATTTCATTTAAAACAAATTTATTTAACCGTACCTTAAAGGAAACATAAGTTTTTGGTTCCAATTAGGATTAATTCCTTCTTGAACAGAAGTACCTAAAGTCATCCCTTCATAAGTAACTTCAATATAAACCTTAGGTTCTTCAAGAATTTCGCTACTAGATCGTGTTCTACTTTGTTTCTTCACAAGAACTTTGTGCGGTATATTAGTAGCAGATAAAACTTCAACGATTATTTTTGATGAGGATTGTTTACAAAGTGGTGTTATTTCCCCTTCCCCACGTTGTTCAATCGCCAATTTCGGCAAAGGTTTATTCATTCCCGGTCGAATTTTAAACCAATTTAAGAAATTAAATAACAAGGTTTTGGTTAAATTCCTAAAATAAAAAAATTAATACAAACAATTTTAAGTGTTTAAATTTTTTACTGGAAATACGATATTAATCTTTCATCGACTATATTCTCGTAAGTCAAATTATTTTGTGAAGATCTACATTGTTGATACACTTTTGTGTGTAATTGTTTTAAACACCGAATTCCATGCAATCTTTTTGCATCAACGTTATCATCTTCGCTATCAGCCGATAAGGTCCTTTCTTGCTTTTTTCTTTGATTATGATTCGTTAAAATATTTTCGGGGATTTCTTTTAATCTATTTGGGACGTACATTCCAAGAAATTCCGGTTCATTTTTATTCCTTAATTGTAACACTTGGAAGCGTAAGTTTGAATTAATTTTTTCTGGACTATAAAAAGATAATTTTTTCATTTCTGGGTTACACCTAAACAGAATTAAATTAACCATAATAATTAAAATTAAATTAACTTATTATTATTACCGAAATTGAGATTTAGGCGTTTCACAAACATCGTTTAATCCGGATTCGAGATATTCAAATATAAAAGAATTATGTGGGTTTAAAGGATCGATTTTGACGTTTTTGACCCAATCCGATAATTTTTTCGAATCGATTTCTCCTTTTTCATCTAAAACATTGCTGTGAGTAAAATTATCTTCTTTAATTTCGCTAATTTTTGATTCATCCCAATTTATGTGGTAATTAATACTCCCACAAGTATTTAAAAGATAATTTTCATCTAAATTTAATTCTAAATCTTTTGTTACTTCTTCTAATTCAATTCCACTTCCGGTTCCTTCGTGTTTGTAATGAATCAATTCCTCCTTTAAGAATTCATCAATATTTTCTTGTTGATACCTATTTTTTAAGTGAGGCAACTTTAGGCATATCTCAGCTATTTTTCTTTTCGATAAAGATCCCGGGATTTCATACAACTCCATGATGACCCTATCGGGGAAGTCGTTTACTTTTAATGAGAAAGCCTCTTCGAAATTGCAAAGAAACTCATCGTTTAAGTCAATCGATTTTGATTTGAACGCCTCGGTGTTGTTGTAAATAATTTTGAAATAAAGTTTGGTTGCTTTTAAAGCTTGTCGTCGCAAATTTTCGTTTTTATCTTCGATTTCGTTTGTAATCAAATTGTTATTAGTTATTTTAAAAGTTAGAATTGGTTCTCCCGGGGGGCGAAAAGCCTCTTTGAATGTTGCTAAAACTTCGTGGCGAATATCATCTTCGTCTATATCGATGATTGGTTTTTTCGGTTTTTTATCTTCGGATTTATTCAATTTCCACTTTGCCAAATCATCGCGGTATTCATCCAGTTTATTTTGGTAATCGAATTTCATTTCGTTTGCTATTTCGGTTATCATGTTTTCAATTTCTCGTCTTTGTTGTTCTATATCGACAGAATAGTTCGATTTTTCTTTATAAATTATTAAACTCACGTTAGTGTTTGAGTACCCTTTCTTCTTCCGAATCATTTTTATATTTTTCCAATTCCTCAAGATATTTTTAGTTAATCCCCTTAACTCAGATGATTCTAAAATTAATTTATTTCGTAATTTTTTGATTTCTTCTACGTGTTGAGCTACATTTTCCCCAGATCCGTTAATATTCATTGCATCTCGTGATCTTCTTAAGCTTTCTAATCGATTCATTATAACTTCTAATTTGTTGCTGATTTTTCTTTCGTGAAATTTTTCGTAATAAAACAATAATTTTTTATGAAAAATATGTTCTAAACTAAACAATGGGTGGTGATTAAATTTTAATTGCGTAATATTTAACAACAAAATGTTCGACTTGCATACAAAAATATCCGGGGTTTCTTTAATACAACCATTTTGATCTGGTAAAACATAATTTGTCTCAATAACCTCCGCTTCTTGCGGCTTATAACTTAAATTTAATTGGGGGTTATCAATTAATTTAAGATTACCATCGCAATTAAACCATTTCCTAAAAATAAATAATTAATTTGCACATTCAAATACAATTTTAAATCAATTTACGCCTCCTCCTTCATTAATCTCCGTTCTATTACATTTTTATAAAGAATTTTTGATTCGCACACATACAACCCTTCATCCTCTAAAATTCTTACCTCACCAATTTTTAATTCATCTTTATTTCTAAAAAAAAATTAGGCATATATTAAGATTAGCTGTCCCTCTTAAAAATCGATGAATTTTTTTTTAATCGGTAGGAAATGACTCAAAAGATGTGTTAATGATAAAAAAAAAGTGCGGAAAAGTGTAGTACTTACCGAAAAATCACTTTAAAGTTGCGATTTGACGTTTCTTTTTGGAAGTTAAAAGCAATGTTAAAATTGCATTTTCGTATTAAATTCTAACCTANTAGACAATTTTCAACAAATTTAGCGATTTTAAATAATTTTGGACAAGTTTACACAATTTTAGATGCGTTTTGAATATTTTAGCCACATTTTGATCATTTTAGGCAGTTTTGAACAAGTTTGACAAGTTAATTGTAGACGTAGTAGATAATTTTAGACAAATTTTACGATTTTAAATCAGTTTGATCAAGGTTACATAATTTTAGATACGTTTTAAATATTTTAGCCACATTTTGATCATTTTAGACAGTTTTGAACAAGTTGGACAAGTTAATTGTAGACGAAGTAGATAATTTTAGACACATTTTGCGCTTTTAAATCAGTTTGATCAAGTATACATAATGTTAGATACATTTTAAATATTTTAGCCACATTTTGGTCATTTTAGACAGCTTTGAACAACTTTAGACAAGTTAATTGTAGACGAAGTAGATAATTTCAGATAAATTTTGCGATTTTAAATAATTATGAAAAACTTTACATAATTTTGAATATTTTAGCCACATTTTGATCATTTTAGGCAGTTTTGAACAATTTTGGACGAGGTAATTGTAGACGAAGTAGATAATTTTAGACATATTTTGCACACTTACATAATTTTGAATAACTTTAAATAATTTTAGATACATTTTGAATATTTTAGCCACATTTTGATCATTCTAGGCAGTTTTGAACAATTTTGGACGAGGTAATTGTAGACGAAGTAGATAATTTTAGACATATTTTGCACACTTACATAATTTTGAATAACTTTACATAATTTTAGATACATTTTGAATATTTTAGCCACATTTTGATCATTTTAGACAGCTTTGAACAAGTTTAGACAAGTTAATTCTAGACGTAGTAGACAATTTTCAACAAATTTTGCGCTTTTAAATAATTTTGAACAAGTTTACATAATTTTAGATACGTTTTGAATATTTTAGCCACATTTTGATCATTTTAGACACTTTTGAACAAGTTTGGATAAGTTAATTGTGGACGAAGTAGATAATTTTAGACAAATTTTGCGCTTTTAAATAATTTTGAATAACTTTACATAATTTTAGATACGTTTTGAATATTTTAGCCACATTTTGATCATTTTAGACAGCTTTGAACAACTTTAGACAAGTTAATTGTAGACGAAGTAGATAATTTCAGACAAATTTTGCGATTTTAAATAATTTTGAAAAACTTTACATAATTTTGAATATTTTAGCCACATTTTGATCATTCTAGGCAGTTTTGAACAATTTTGGACGAGGTAATTGTAGACGAAGTAGATAATTTTAGACATATTTTGCACACTTACATAATTTTGAATAACTTTACATAATTTTAGATACATTTTGAATATTTTAGCCACATTTTGATCATTTTAGACAGCTTTGAACAAGTTTGGACAAGTTAATTCTAGACGTAGTAGACAATTTTCAACAAATTTTGCGCTTTTAAATAATTTTGAACAAGTTTACATAATTTTAGATACGTTTTGAATATTTTAGCCACATTTTGATGATTTTAGATACTTTTGAACAAATTTGGCTAAGTTAATTGTAGACGAAGTGTATAATTTTAGACAAATTTTGCGCTTTTAAATAATTTTGAATAACTTTACATAATTATAGATACGTTTTGAATATTTTAGCCACATTTTGATCATTTTAGGCAGTTTTGAACAAGTTTGGACGAGTCAATTGTAGACGAAGTAGATAATTTTAGATACATTTTGCGCTTTTAAATAATTTTGAATAACTTTACATAATTTTAAATAGGTTTTGAATATTTTAACCACATTTTGATCATTTTAGGCAGCTTTGAACAAGTTTGACGAGTCAATTGTAGACGAAGTAGATAATTTTAGACAAATTTTGCGCTTTTAAATAATTTTGAACAAGTTCATATCATTTTAGATACGTTTTGAATGTTTTAGCCACATTTTGATTATTTTAGGCAGCTTTGAACACGTTTGGACGAGTCAATTGTAGACGAAGTAGATAATTTTAGACAAATTTCAAGCTGTTAAATAATTTTGAACGAGTCTACATAATGTTAGATACGTTTTGAATATTTTAGCCACATTTTCATCATTTTAGACAGTTTTAAACAAGTTAATTATAGACGAAGTAGACAATTTTAGGCAAATTTTGTGCTTTTAAATAATTTTGAACAAGTTTAGCCGAATTTAGATCACTTTGGACTAATTTAGTGTTTATGAACAGTTTTAGAAAAGTTTTTAGATAATGTTAACTAGCTTTTGTTAACACGGTACTTGTGAGTTTTTTTATTTTCTTGTGGAGATTAAACAGGTCGTGCTTGTTTTGTAGCGTTTCTTCATCTCGTTGCAGTTCTCCATCATTTAACGATCTTTCGCTTTTTGGTATTCTGCTGCCTCCATTGTATTCAGCTCCCTGTAATGGCTGTTGTTCTTGGCCTTTTGTTTTCTTCTCTCTGTCATAAGCTGAACGATTTGCTCTGTCATCCAGTGTTGTTTTTTGGGAGTATGTAATAAACCAATGTCGATATCTTGCGTGTCAGTGAGTCTGTCTATCTATTGTAGATAGACCACATTCCTCGTTTGTCCAAAAATTGGGCTCTACTAATGTGGCGAAGCTGTAAATCAATCATGATTGGGTTGTGGTCGCTATTGATATCAGCGCCAAGGTGTGATGCCGCTGCTGTTAAATACTTCCATGTAGATAGCCGTCGAGGGTGCTGTTTGAAGATAGTGTTTATGGCAAATAGATCAAGCACCAAGCGGTCTCTATTCTAGTTGCCTGTTTCGAGTCCATGCTTGTCCATAATTTGGCATTAAAATCTCCAAGAACAAGTATTATTTCTCCTTTTTTGGCCAATTTCATGGGTGTGCGCTTGAATCACATCTATAATTCTATGAGTGGCGAGTAGCCTCAGAATCTATCTCCAAGCACGATGACGTCAAAGACAGACTTCTCTAGTTCTGCTGAAATTAGAATGGCTACGCCATATTAGTCTTGGGAATCGTCTCCTCCAAAGTAGTATAGAAATAGTATCTCGCTTAGGTCCATTATCTCCGCATCTACGTTTTATATAGCGATCTTTGTCTTGTTCTTGAGACTGGCCCAGATCATACTTAATTATGAACATCCATAAATTTTCTGTGCCAAAGCCCTAAGAAAAAGTGTTGCTTCTATGATCTTCTAGAAGATAGACGCAAGGTATCTGGACGAGATTCTTCTTACTAACCTCATCAGGTGAAGAAGCGCTTTGATTGGTTTATTATTGGAACTTAAGACTTGGTCAGTAATCAGAGTAAAAAACCAGCTTGAATAAGATTCAATTTACGAATTATATAATCTTTTCTAATCTAATAAGCTTAAGATATTGGCCTTAATCTATTTAAGTAAAATATTAAAGCAACTCGTAATATAGATAATTAGAAATTTAATCTTATACCACATAAAATATTTTTTCTTTTCTTTTTGTATTACAGATACAATAAAATGGCAAAAATATCTCGGTTAAAACTGGCAGGAGTTCGAAGTTTTGGACCAGATGAACTTCAAGACATACCATTTCAAGCTCCAGTAACATTAATATTAGGCGAAAATGGTTGTGGTAAAACGACGATAATCGAGGCTTTAAAATACGCATGTACAGCAGAAGCTCCAGGCGGTGGAAAAGACAAAGCCAGTTTCCTTTTCAACCCGCAGTTAAGATCCGCATCCTCGACGAAAGCTGTAATTAAATTAAAATTGATCGATAGAGATGGAAAAGAAATTTTAATTAATCGAGCAATGCGAGTTGACCAAATAAGCCCTACGTCAAAAACATTTAAGGCGATGGATTCTACGTTGACTATTACGGATAGTAAAGGTAAATCTCAAACTATTTCTACAAGATGTATAGACGTTTCGACGATAGTTTGCGAACGATTGGGTGTATCTCAATCGATTTTGAGTAGCGTTATATTTTGTCATCAAGAAAACTCTTTGTGGCCTTTGAGTGAAGGTAAAAACGTGAAGGAGATGTTTGATGAAATTTTTGACTCTGTTAAATACAATAAGTGTATAACGAATATAAATGAATTGATAAAAAATCAAAGGGTAGATATAAAAGCAATTGCTGGGCAGTTAGTTTTTAAGCAAGATAAAAAAAGGATTGTTGATAGAAAGCGGGAAGTGTTGGAAAAAGATGAAAGGGACTTGGAAAAAATTGTGGAGGAAATAGAGAAAAAAAATGAAGAAATCATTCCTATTGATAACGAACTTACTAAAATCATTGAGAAAGAGAACAACTTTGCCGAATTGAAACAAAAATTATCAGCGAAACAAACAGAAAAGAGAAGTTTGGAACAAAACCAAAAGGAATTGAGGGAAAAATTAAAGCAGGAATTTGTGGGGGATGACGACGAATTAAAGTTTGAGATAAAAGTTTTTGAGGAAAAGATAAGTAAGTTACCAACAATCGAAGAAATTCGGGTTAAAATAGATAATTTTAACAAATTAATACAAAAATCCCAAGAGAGAATTGGGAAATTAACCGCGGAAAAGGATCAATACAATGAAACTGTAATTAATCGTAATAAATGTATTAATAACTTAAAATCGGAATTAAATATTGAAGCGGATCACGACGTTGTTGAAATGATAGGAATCTTAAAAACGAGTTTGAATAAATTAAAAGTTACAATTCAAGAATTAGAGATTAAACATGGAAACGAAGAGGATTTGCTTCAAAAAGATATCGACACAAAACGCGAGGATGTTGCAAAAATAAAAGAGAAAATTAATTCTTGTAGCTCTCAAATAAAACAAATCAAACAGAAAATTCGCGAAGTTGGGCTTCAATTAAATCTTTTGGGTAATTCGGGCGAAGAATTGAAACAACTCACTCTTAAAGTTGATAAAATAGATAACGATTTAAAGAAATTATCGAGTAGTTTTAACATTGATGAAACTGAAAATTCGATAAAAATTATTAAACAAGAAATATTTCAGTTAGAGGAGCAACAAACTTTATTAGAGCAAGATCAAAAGGTTCTCCAAAACAATTTTGAGTTAGAAAATAACATCGAAACGCGATTAAAAGATATCAGGGAGAAAGAAAATAAAATTTACCACTTAAAAAATTCGCGTTTCGATGAGTTTAGGGTTGTTTTTGATGAGGTTCCTGAAACAAATTTAAAATCTGAGTTAGAAGATGTTTTAAGCGATAATCGAAGGGTTTTAGATGATGTTCAGAAGCAATTGGAAGTTAGTAGGAGTGAGGTGACGAATCAAGAGGCGAGTATTAAGTTTAATAAGGAAAAGTTGGCGGCGTTACAAGAAGAGTTGGAGGGAAATCTAGGTAAAATAAGGAGCTTAACGAAGGGGCAAGATTATGATGAGTTCCACAAAAAAATTGAGACCGAATTTAATTTTTATCAAGACTCTAAAGGGCAATTAGCAGCAGCTAAAGTGCTTTATGAGAAGTTTTTGAAGACTTTTATTTCATCGAAACCGTGTTGCCCGATTTGCGATACTGATTTTAAGGGGAATGAAAGCGCTGTTTCAAGTATTGTTAATAAAATGAGATCGACTCTCAAAAATATCCCTTCACAATTAAGTGAAACTGAAGAAAAACTTAATAAAACCCAAACGCTTTTTAATCTTTCGCAACAAACTAAACCTTTGTATGAAAAAACTAAGTTTTTGGAAGAGAAATTAATTCCTGAGGTGACCGAAACAATTAATAAATTAAATCTAGAATATGTGTTGTCGAAAACGGAAAGAGATGATTTAGAATATAAATTAAAAAAGCCTAGGGAAATATTAGAAATTGCCACAAAAATAATGTCTGATGCGACATTAATTGATAAATATCAAAGCGAAATTCAAGCTTATAAAAGTGAAGTTGTCGAGCTTGAAGAACAAACGACCGCGATTAAATCGGGTAAATCCCGAGATGAAGTTGAGGCGGAAATAAAAATTTGCAAATCGAATATATCCCAAAAAAGAAATCTCTGCGAATCGAAACAAGAACAATTAGTTTCATTTCGAAATCAATTACAAGATTTAAAAGAAAAACAACACAAATTACTCGATAAAAAATTACAAATTGAAAAAACCATGCATGGAAAACCACAATTATTAGAGAAAGAAAAAGAATTAAAAGCGGAAGAAACCGTTTTACAAAACACCATAAAAACGTTAGATCACGAAATAACCCCGACAGAAAAAAAATTATCCCAATCAATCCAATCGTTAAAAGAAAAAAAATTATTACACAAAAACGAAATTACAAAAAGAACCGATCATTTCAACAAATTAAACCAAACGTACCAAAAAATTAATCAACACCAAATCGAAATCGAATCATTCGAAAAAAAAGACATCAAAAAAGAATTTATCGAGCAAGAATCGAAATTGCACGATTATAAAGAAAAAATAAACGGGTTAAACTCCCAAAGAGATTTAGTTTCGGGTAGCTTAATTAAACGAAGAGAACTTCAAGATAATCTCGAAATTCGCCTCAAACAAAACACAATTGCATCAATTTCCAAAATTATAATTGAATTGGAATCCCAAGTTAAAGGTTACAATTACTCTAATTTATACAAACAAAAACAAATTCTCGTTAATAAACACTCGATTATCTTAGAAGAAACTCATAGATTAAGCGGGAAAAAAGAACAATTAGAAAGTACGATTAAAGATGAAAAAGAAGAACTCGAACGCCCCGAATTTAAAAACGCGTACTCGGCTTATATGCGTAAATATTACGAGCTTAAAATAAAAGAAAACGGGTTAATTGATTTACAAATATACGCGAAAGGGTTAGAAAATGTTATCATCGAATTTCACAAACAAAAAATGATTAGTGTAAATGCTTTGATTAAGGAGTATTGGAGATCGATTTATAGAGGCAACGATATCGATTTTATTCAAATTAAAACCGAACAAACCGAGTCGAAAGGGGCCACTTCGCGGCGTGCCTACAATTACAAAGTAATCCAAATTAAAAACGACACCGAAATTGAAATGAGAGGTTGTTGTAGTGCCGGTCAAAAAATTTTGGCTTGTTTAATTATTAGGATGGCTCTCTCAAGCGTTTTTAGTCATAACTGTGGAATTTTGGCTTTAGACGAACCGACGACGAATTTGGACCGCGAAAACGTGATGAGTTTAAGCGAAGCTTTGGCTACTATGATAAACGATCGTAAAGTTGAAAGAAATTTTCAATTGTTGATTATTACGCACGATGAAGATTTTGTTAGGACGTTGTCCCAAGTTGGAAGCATCGAGGAATGTTTGAAAGTTAAGCGTAATAATGATGGGTTATCTGTGGTTCAACCGCAAGTTATATTATAAGTTTATTATAATTCTTTGTTTGTTAAACTTATTTATGTAAATTTAGTTGCTTTTGAATAAATGTTATTTTCACATTATTCGTTTTTTACTAGTTGGTAACATTAAAGAGAATATTGTTATATCATGTTTTTAAAAGGAATTAAGGCCCACTTTTACCATCCTCCTGATAAACTATCTAGAGGATAGTTGCCATAGTTACGGCGGTTTTAAGCGCTCTCATTGGCTAAGAACTGGATTTATCTATCGGATAAATTTATCAGGAGGTGGTAAAAGTGGATCTAAGTCAGATTGACATTCAATGTTAAAAAATAATACAGTTTTCGAATGACCAAGGTCTGTGGAGTATATTATAAGGTTATCCAACTCGAACAAATTGACGTTGACAAAAATTAACAAAACGTGACGTCATTGGAGGAAAAGTAATATAATATACAGGTGCCCATTATGTATGGAATATAGTATACAGGTGTCCCGTATCCCGTAACATTTTATACAAAAGTTGATTAATATTTTGTTTGCCATAATAAGACAGCATTCAATTGTTTTTATTTCAGAAAACAAATGAGCAACGAATAACACATTAAGTTTTTTAAATGGCAATGTATCCTTTCGTTAGGCTCATTTGATAGAGATTTGTTTTCTCTTTACGATGACGTAAAATTTTAGTACTCTTATATCAGAAAATTTTTGAAAAAAATTTAACTAATAACGTGAATCTAGATATCCGAGATCGTCATTCGGGTTTAGCCGTCTTTAGAGACGTGCGGCTAAACCCGAATGATTCTAGTTCTAGGTCTAATGTTAGTTCTATTTCAGTAAAAATAGACAACAATTTAACGCTTAGTAATAATTAAAACTCGAATTTTTCTAGTTCTAAGTCTAGTGTTTGTTTTAGTTTTAGTGCAATAAAAACATACAACATAGTGATATCTAGCAACATCATGCTCGGACTCATTTTCATGGTTTTTTTTAATAAAGAATACATCATAAAAGAACACCATGAAGTTGTCCATTTGTCTATTATATGATAACTAACTTCAGATTTAAAATGTCAACCTCAATTTTGACATATTTGTAATCTTCATTAAAAATCCTTTAAAATAAGTACAAACACGACATATTTATCTTCAATATTAATGAAGTTATAGTCAACTTCCGGTTAGAAATGTCAACGTCAATTATGACATATTTGTAATTGTCGTGAAAAATCCTTTAAAATGAGCCCAAACATGATACGTTTAATTCCAATAGTAGTCGAGATATAAGCAACCTCCGGTTTGAAATGTCAATGTCATTTTGACAAATTATTAATTTTTATAAAATGTCTTAAAATTTATTACAAAAACAAAAATTCAATAAAGAAAAATTAAAAATTAAGGTTGGTATTAATATAGTTCATTTTTTTTCTATAATACCTGTCAAATTGTTGTAAAGTTGACAAAATTAACAGGGAGTTTTGTTTTATCATGTTTTGAAATAAATATGTCACACTGACGTTTGAGCTTTCGTTATTCAAAAAGAAAAGGTGCATAAAAAATGTTGTGGGGTGTTTATTTGCCATTTATTTACATAGAAAAGGTATTTTATTCTATTTAATTACTTTGTAGCACGTTTTTACAACAAATATTTACTTCGTTAAAATCGTATTTATCTAAAAATTAATTAGTATTTTAACCTCAACTATTTAGTTACTGAAAATGTTACTAAAAATCATGAAAACAACATAAATTTTATAAGGGTCTTAGATAATACCAACAGAAACCCTAAATAATTTACATTGACAAGTATTATAGAAAAAAAACGAACTATATTTAATAATTAAATTGCTATCTTCATTGTTGCTAACTTCGGGTTTAACGTTTTTTTATTCAAACTTTTTTGAGATAAGTGCGTCATGTTTGGACTCATTTTAAAGGTTTTTTTTTAATAAAGAATACATCATGAAAGAACACCATGAAGTTGTCCATTTGTCTATTATATGATAACTGACTTCAGGTTTAAAATGTCAACCTTAATTTTGACATATTTGTAATCTTGTAACAGAGTTTAAATTAATATGTTTATTTAATAAGACATAAACATATTACAATATTATTAAGAGCATACACGTTTCACACGATGCTTATTATTATTTTTTAATATTTTTTCTTTCATCGCGCTGCTTGGATACGCGTACAACGCGGACTAGATGACGCGGCAATCATATATTCGTTACAATCTTCATTAAAAATCCTTTAAAATGAGTATAAACACGACATATTTATCTTCAATATTAATGAAGTTATGATCAATTTTCGGTTACAAATGTCAACGTCAATTTTGACATATTTGTAATCGTCGTGAAAAATCCTTTAAAATGAGCCCAACATGATACGTTTAATTCCAATATAAGCAACTTCCGGTTTGAAATATCAATGTCATTTTAACAAATTCTTAATTTTTATAAAATGTCTTAAAATTTATCACAAAAATAATAAAAAAATGAAAAATTAAGGTTGCTAATTTCAACGTTACCAACTTTAATATTTTTTATTACAACTTTGTTGTTTTTCGAGATAAATGCATCATGTTTGAACTCATTTTAAAGGTTTTTTAATAAAGAATACATCATGAAAAAACACCATCAACTAACTTCAAATTTAAAATGTCACGTAACTGGTTCGTTAGAACTTTTTAGGTTCGACTATTCTTAGAGGTTTGAAATTTTGGTAGCATGGGTTGTTCATTCGGAACCTTCGATGTAAAATATTTTCAAACGTTAACATTAAAAACACACCAATAGAGAGGGTATCAGCTCGCCTATCTAGGGATCATTCTCAGGAGAAAAGGTGTAAAATACAGAAAGTGAAAGTCGTCTTCAATCGTTCAAAGGTCACAACTTCAGCATCGATATTAAAGTCAAATGTTCCTCTATAGAAGAGTACTGAGGATCTCATGGGTGGATAGAGTAAATAAATTAGGTAATTATAATTAAAATCCATTTTACCAGTTGTTATATCATGAAAAGAAATTTAATTTTCTTAATCTGTAGTTTTAAAACTGGTTTTATTAAATTAAGTCTGAGTAGTTATTAAAAGTACAGATCTTTTAAAACTGGTTTTGTTAAATTAAGTGTAACTAGCCTATCCTCAGAGACTATTTATAAGAATGTTCTTCAATTTTAACGTGTCAACTTGTAAATTTTGTCCTTAATTTAAAATTTTATTTTGAATAATTGCAAAACTTTTGTAAACTTAATATTTAACGATATGACTTTTTTGTGAACTCTTGTAAAAGTAATCTCTGAGGATGGACTAGTCACACTTAATTTAATAAAACCAGTTTTAAAAGATCTGTACTTTTAATTACCTTTTCATAAATAAATTACGGCAATAATGAGATCAACAAGAAAAGAAAACTGGAATCATCTTCAGTCCGTTGTTACGCCACAGTTGGCGATTAGGCTTCTTCTCTGCCTGTAAAGTTGGCAGCTTACATTACTAAAACTGGAATATCTTGGATATATTATGATGCAAATACCGTCTTTTGAGGTTCGTCCTCCATGGGTAAGTGTATGGTAGAAGACGACTAGGAAGAAGGATATTGTGATAATATGTGTATTCGTCTTTCGAAAATGAATAAAAATACTTTAATTAAATACAATAAATAAATAACAATCTTTAATAGAAAATAGAAAAAATACTTTACAAAAAAAAAAAATTATTGAAACAAAAAAAAAATATCTAACACGAGACTACAAAAAAAAATAACTAAAGTAAACGATCTCAGGGTTTGTTTTCTAAGGCTCATGTAAACGAAACACAGTTGCTGATGTTTAAAAAAAAACATTTAAGTTAATCTATAACTTTCAGCTCTAAAACTTCTTAAATAAATTGATTCTGATAATTGAAATAATCAAAGTGATCTGAAATAATTGATTTTGATTCGCTCTGGATTACACACGAGGTAAGTGAGTTATTTTTTTAGAAATGGTATATCGAAAATAAAAAAAAAATCTTAACTTCTTTGGTTTTACAGATGTTGGTGGAATTGATTGAAATCTTGATTCCTCCCTGGTTTGAACTGCTCGTTTTTCCCCCTTGGTGGAATGTGCTGGTACCCCCTTGGTGGCTTTCCGGAAAAAACTATTCCGATGTCTTCTTTCCCAAATTGGTTATCGTATTCTTCTTAATTAATTTTAGCTTCTTTTCTTCTCCCTCAATTGTGAATTTCTTTGGTTATGTGTTTTCTTCAGAAATTTATCTTCGATAATCAAGACTCAATGATGATCAGGAAGCGAATTCCGCGTCCTCGTTATTCATTTTTCACCTTTTTTTCGGCAAAAATCGACAAAAACTTCTCTTTTTTGTCCATCACCCTCTTTGATACCACAACAAAAAGTGTAAAAAATTTGTATTTCTGAGCGCCATCTCTTATTGACATTTGGTTTTTCTTCCAAATTTTCAAAAATTACTTTTTAAATAAACTATATTTATTGAAATCCTTCAATGTCTGAATACTCTGAATTATTTCATTCCCCTTTGACACAATTTTTCACATTAATTCTTCTTTAATTCCAAAATTTATATTCCGTTTCTTTCAAAATCTTCACATTTTTAATTTTCAACATTTCGGTTTTAAACTGATTAAAATCACTTGAATCTGATGTAATTCATTATAAGCTTTATGTTTTTAGGTATTTCAAGAAGTTTTTTGGCTGTAATCACCCATAAATTGAATACTTTGGATTTGGAGGTTATGTTTCGTTTTTTTTTGGGCTCTTTTTTATTAACTAAATACAAGAATATTTCTTAATCTACGACGGAAATACGAACGGATTTATCATTGATTAAAACATTTTTACAAATAACGACGAAATCAATGAGAACTATAACAAACTTTTATGAAATTTTTCAACGATCAGCTTTAACTATCCTCGGTATATCAACTTTGATATCAATACGTGAGTTGTTCTTTATATTTTAATTATAATATTAATTTGAACGGTAAGATCACTGATTTTATTGTTGTTTTTATCTGATTGAATTGTATTTATCTATTTTTTAGATTTGAAGAAGTACTAATAAACTCTCTAGGCTCTCGATTTACAAGGATTTTTCTACGGAATGTCATTATTTCCTCTTTATTGTAATTATTTCTTATAACAAAACCATTGTTTATTAATTAATTAATAAAATTATGAGTGGAACCCAATATTATTACAATATCGTGGATTGCAAACTTATAGACATAGTTCTTATCATATCCAAAATGATCGCCAATATTTGAATCAAATAGGCACCCAAAGAAGACAATTATTCTTATTATTAAGGATTAAGGGAGTATATTTATAATAATTAAAACACATTGTGGGATGGGTTATTATTTATTGATATAAAGAAAATGATACATGATTACTTACAAAATCTAGAACAGAATCAAAATCTTCTTAGATTTTTTTTAAGAAACTCGCGAAAGCAAAAAAAATTAACTACTAATGTAGTGAAAAATTTCGAACGATGAATACTTTCCGATCAATAAACAATCCCCACGATTTCTTATTTTTTCGTATTTTCAATTTCGATCTACATGGATCTTAAAAAAAATGATATAGTACAAAAGAATACGGCAAATGTCCGTTTCAAATACGGATTTTTTTATAATTTTAAATTAATTTTTGTTTATTTTTAATGATTCCTTATTTTTTTGGAGTTTTTAACTTATACCTTTACAATTGTTTAGATAAAAGGTACTACTAATTAATAAAATATTTTATATACATTTTGAAAGAAAAAATTAATAAGAAAATCTTCAACGTGTTATTATGATTTTTAAAACATCCTCGAGTAAAAAAATACATTTAAGTGACATTTAGGGAAAAAACTAAAATAACATCTATTTCTTCTTCTTTTTTTTTTTCTCAAAAAAATAATTCAACTTATATGATATACGTATTTCTAATTTAAAGGAAAATAAACTTTCGTCAAATAAAAACTGAAAAATCTTTTAAAATTCATTGTTGAAGTCACGCATGTCCAATTTACAAGTGATTTTAACAATTTAATTTACTCCGATTTTGATTTTATTACCATTAATGAATGTGAAATGAATAAAGGTGGGGAGTAAAATACTATCGCAACAACATGGTTCATAAAAAAATTAATAAAAGAAACAATTAGATATACACGCAGACATAAAAAATTAAGCCACAATTATTGGTCACTCTCTATAATATACACATACATTCTCAAGAATACGTAACATACTCCTAAAAAACAAAATAAGTAGGGCTTAATTTTACCCCTTAAAAAAAACTAAATTGCGATAATATTTTACAACACAATCGACTACGACGGATATTGTAATTAAAGATACGTACTTGAATTAATGAAGGGATATCTTGAGTGGGACCGATGTTATTTACTTATTGGAATCTAGAAGAAACAAGAAGACCAAATAATCCAATGTCACCACCATTTTTTTGTTCACTATAACGTTATTTATTTTTTTTTTATTCATTTTCATCCTATTGTGAAAATTTAACTTTAAAAATTAATAATCCAAGTAAATCAATACGCACATTTTAACGTGATTTATGTTACAATTGATGGTTATCAAGTACATAAAGTTTGAGCTGGCGGACTATCTGTTGGTGTTGGATGTGATATACTATTCGAACCATCATCGTTTATGCTAAAAGTGCTATTGGAGTCATCGTTCAAGGAATTATTTGATGAATCTTCAAACTAAAAATCAATCAAATTAATAAATTAAACAAAATCGATTAAAAAATATAAATTACAGTTGCAGATCGATTTTCTTCTGATAATCTGGGTTGTTTGCTCGCATTAGCATCGTTACAGAGAGTATCAGAAAGCCTCTTTCGATTGTTAACAGTCCCATCGTTACTCTTAAAAAATTAAAATAACCAAACAAATAAAACAGTTAAAGTAAAAACACACAAATTCGCAACAAAAATCTTTCATTGAAATTTCTTACATTGGAATCGTTTGCGGTAATTGATGACCTCTTACTATTATCCATACTTTCTGATAACGACAAAGACCGCTTTCGTTCGATGTTGGCCCCGTTTTTCAAAGTGCCGCTAAACTTCCTTTCTCGCCTAACCACGCTCGGCGATAAATATTGGTGCAATTGCTTTCTCTTAACGTGTCTCGCTTCCAATTCCATGCCGTCCTTTAACATTTTCGAATTTGTCGCTTGCCTATTGACCGTTTTTGTAAAATTCTGAATATCTTGCGTTAGATCGATATTCAAATTTTCGGTTTTTGCAAATTCTAAACCTATGAACCACATGGTGGATACGTGCGGATTCGATTCCGATGCCGGTTCGATCGTATTAAAATTTTCGGGGTTTATATGGGCTAAGACTATGTGCGGGTTTCGTTCGAGTGCAACTAAAAAAAATAATTGTCTTGTAAAATCTAATTGAAAGAGAATTAATTTATTGTATTATTATATAACTAGTGATTCCCAAACTTTTCTATGGTGATCTTCCAGTGTTGAATGTCAGAATGGGTGAAATATATGCCACATAATACAGCGGCTATTTACAACATTTGCTTGACCACTTTGTGCAATATGAGGGAGCCAGAGGCACGGTGATGCTTATCTTTAATGGGAGAATTATACAACGGCCTGGATATTGTGTGATTTGTTAAGATCCGAGGACTTTAGTGGTCTGACGACGTGGAACGAATGGATGAAAGAAAGATTCTTAAAAACGTAATGATACCTCAACTGGCCAAGGGGAATATCTCATACGAGATGGTAGGATAGCATCAAGAGAAATGCTGTGGAATTTCTTGGAGTAAGGAATTGGCAGGGCTGCTAGGAGTTATTGGAGGCATAAATTAAGGCTCAGTCTGGGTTGTAACGCCACTGGAAGAAACAGTGATTCCTAAACTTTTCTATAGNTAATTGAAAGAGAATTAATTTATTGTATTATTATATAACTAGTGATTCCCAAACTTTTCTATGGTGATCTTCCAGTGTTGAATGTCAGAATGGGTGAAATATATGCCACATAATACAGCGGCTATTTACAACATTTGCTTGACCACTTTGTGCAATATGAGGGAGCCAGAGGCACGGTGATGCTTATCTTTAATGGGAGAATTATACAACGGCCTGGATATTGTGTGATTTGTTAAGATCCGAGGACTTTAGTGGTCTGACGACGTGGAACGAATGGATGAAAGAAAGATTCTTAAAAACGTAATGATACCTCAACTGGCCAAGGGGAATATCTCATACGAGATGGTAGGATAGCATCAAGAGAAATGCTGTGGAATTTCTTGGAGTAAGGAATTGGCAGGGCTGCTAGGAGTTATTGGAGGCATAAATTAAGGCTCAGTCTGGGTTGTAACGCCACTGGAAGAAACAGTGATTCCTAAACTTTTCTATAGTAATCTTCCAGCGTTGGAAGCCAGAATGAGTGAAACATGTCATCTAACACAACAGCTATTTCCATGTTTCGATCACTTTGCCCAATATAAGGTATTTGATGGACCGTCATCTCATCGGGATGCAAACATCACGTTATATTGCCTTCAAACCATTTGAAACCTTTTGGGATACAAAAATTTTGGTCTATGTTAGCAACAAAACCAGCAATTTGAAAAAGAGTGATTTCAGAGAAGTTTTCAAGAGGATTGGATAAGAATTCCTGATTAGGTTTCTGCTCCCCAATTCTGGGGCCTTTACTCTTTCTGCTCTTTTTTAATGATTTTCCATTCTATATTGGTAACAGTGCTGACTACTACTTTTATGCTAACGACGCACAGTGGTCTAAATTCGAAAAAATCCGAACAAAAATATTTTAACGCAGTTTGGGTTGGGATAATTTTTTGAAACTTGGTATATGGCTATAGGACTATATGCTAAAGACTTTGTGAACTTTTGGATCAAATATGGCAACCGGAAGTACTAATTTACTTGAGGTCACATTCTACTTTTTTCATATAATTTAGGTCCTTAGAATTGGATAAATACAAAATTTTATACAACGCTATTAAATCGTGAAGGATAGCTAAATACAAAATTGTTTAAACTAAATTGGTTATATAGTTTACTTCGATGTAAGGTTTCTATAAATAAATCTTTAACTACAGAGTGTCTCACATATCTGGTTCGTTAGAACTTTTTCAGGTTCCACTATTCGTACAATTTTGAAATTTTGGTAGCATGGGTTGTTCATTCGGAACTTTCAATCTAAAATACTTTCAAGATGGCTGCCACTTCCGGTCTACCGGAAGTAGACCATAACTTCGTTATTTTAAATAGAATGCTATAGTTTTTATTACACCATTTAATTGTACGTAAAAAAATAGGTTAACTTTGATAAAAGTTATTGGTACCTAGCGTTTTTCGTTTTCGAGTTATTTTGGTTCTAAACTTTTTTTGGTAAATTTCACCATGCTCTTTAAAACCCCATATCTCAGCCAACGTTCATTCAAAAAAGGTCTAAATTGGTACGATTATTCTTCAAGTGCTGTCAAGTAGATTGTCATTTGTTGTATCGGAGTATCTTATACAGGGTGGTCAAAAATTGAATTATTGTTTCTCCATTTTCAATGGCGAGAAAGTAGAAAATTTTAAATGGAACGAACCATGCTTTTTTAGCCTATCAGAAATGGACTTTAATTCTCTATAAATTATCTACGTTGCTTAACAATATGTGTTTCTTCTTGTTCTGTTTCAGACCATTCTTCGTCATCTTCATCTTCGTTGCATCCTGCCTCATATAGCTCTTGTTCTGATTCTTGTTCTTCGTCATATTCATCTTCTTTTTCGCCATCTTTTTCTTCTTCCTGGTCTTCTACATTGTCTATTATAAGTAATCTTTTAGTCTCGATACTCATCTTTTTATGTTTTCTAGAAATGTGCTGTTGAAAATTACTTATAAATGGATGTGAGCTGGGGGGGTGAAATTGAGCTGAGTAGCAGTCTTTTAAATAGATCTTCATTCGTATCCAGTCTACTACATTTCCTTGTGTGGCTCTCTCTAAATTTTCGGATTTTTTTGTTATTAGCTTCTTGCGCTTCTTCCGACAACTCTCCAATAGGTAGTAGAGCTTCTTTAATGACTGCAGATCCATGTATCAAAATTTTATGAACGCTGGTTGGCATATAGTACCAACTATAAAATGGACGTACTTTTCGGCAGTTTTGAAACAATATTTATCAAATTCATTGTAATTAATATTGTACCCACTGTTTATTGCAGCCAAAACAACGCCAAATCGCTGTATTAGTTCCTCGTCAATTCCTTAAATGAAGTATAAAGTGATTAGTACATGCGCGCTTACTATAAAATTGTCATAACAGTAATCTCTGATGATAATTTATTAAAACTACGTATCAACTAGTCACCTTCCAAGTTCTAATTTCTAATCTATATGAAATGTGAAGCAGACACACAAAAAACCGAATGTATGCATGGAGAACAGACAAACCAAACTTAAAACCTTCTAGCTCTACCGTTCATCTGTGAAATTTTTGCTCTGCATAAATAACATTCCATTCCAGATGATTCCTTCAAATTCCCATCAAAGAATTACAGACCTACAACATGTATGAATAATTCAAATAAAGTTTTAAGAAAACGAAGACTTTATACCTTGCCATCCACCATCGTGAAATAAAGAGAAAAGTTAACACTTACACATTTTGAGGTATATGGCTGAAGGGAGCTTATTTGGTTTGAAATATATATTTTTCTTCGGTTCTTATAAGAGCGGCATTTTCATGCACCCATTGTAATCTAATCGGTCTACAAAACCGTATAGATTATGGTGTGGGGTTCTTCCACAATACAATATTATTATCATTGTCTTCCAATCGTAATGGGACTAGGAAGACACAAATAGCGAATCATCTTTTCCCTCTGCATTTGTGATGAACTTTTGTTTATAAGTCGAATGACATCCGCTACCATCAAACCCCCACTTACAACGTAATATAGAATTTACATTTACATTTGGATAATTATCGAAACATTTAAAAAAAATTTTTTAAATATTATTTAATAAAACTGGTTCGAAGTGTTTCTGAAGAAGGTTGCAACATGGCATCCGAAACGTCAAACCTTTTCTTAAAAGACGCACGGCAAAACCCGAAAGTTTCTAGTGTTAGTTCTAGTTTTAGTTCTAATTTTAGTTCAATTAACTCCGGCCGTGAAAGCCTTCGTACTTATAAAAAAAGTAGATATTTCAAGTGTTCCAGTTTTTTGCCGCACTGTATCTAACAACCACTTCCGGTTGTTAGATATGCCTGAAACTTTAAGTCTGGTATTCTATTATTGTTATGCAAGTTTACACCAAATATACGAGATTTATCTTTTAAGAAAAAGAATATAAGCATTTTATATGAAAACGGTCAAATAACACACTCAGTCACTGATCATCTTTGATCGCTAATATCTTGGTAAGGAGCAAGTTAAAGCAAGATGTGGTTATCATGTTATATAGAGCACATCTCAAAGAATAAGAATATTCTAGCGACAAAAGTTCTTCTTGCGTCTTCTGCGAGATATATATGTTAAAACATTTGGTTGTAACTTCAAGTAGGTGATTATTAGCTTTAAAAGAAGTGCTTATTACGTATTTCTGCAAAAATATTTTAAAAATTAGAAAAGTGCCAAATGAAGACCTTTCTATACTGTTCAAGATAGCAACAACGCATTGTCTTGGAAAAGTGGAACACAATATATTTTCTTCATCTAAAGTTGTAGTATTTTATGATATTTAATACACAAGAATTGTAGTACTGTTTCATTGCGTACAGTTGGCACTAGAAAGTACATAAGACTTTATTCCTTTCACCTCTCAGTCTATAAGGACCTAAAGCACATTTAACATGTAAAAAAAAAGGAAAAAAAATTTCGAAAATTTGATTTTCGTTCACATTTTACCGCTTGTGGACCACTGTGCGACGCCACCCTGTTAATTAGGGATCGGAACATCGATGAGGTCCTTGAATTGTCACACAGTGTTCTGAATAGAGCACGCAATACTAAAGCAATACTTTTTCTGGTCTTTTTCAATCTATTGTCTAACCGGTTTCGGCTTACGCCATCATCAGAGACATTAGAAATATAGATTAGATTTTAGCAACTTATTTTCCATTCAGTTGTTCATGTAAACGGCTTCGCAAAGGTATACAAGATAAAATTATAAATATGAACACATTAAAACTCACGTTAAAAGTTAAAATTTAAACGTTAAAATATAAAACAATACTATAAAACCTGGATTGACGGGCACTAATTCACGATTCCTTGTGAGTTTATACTTGAGTCTATACTTTATGCGAACAGCAACAAGTCAGCGTACCAAGTTCAATCTGATGTGCATGGATACGGGACTAGGGTAGGCACAACTTCAAGCCGAAATGCTGCCGTTTGAATATGTCACAACGGGGACCAGAATTCACGTTCCAGCAGTTCTATGAAAAAACGGCTTAAGCCTTTTTTAATTTGCAATGCATTCTACAGTGTTCAGGACTTTTTAAATGTAAAATGTGTTATTTAATTGTCAACGTTAAGGTACGGATAAGCGAAGAAAAGACGTTAAGTGTGTAATGTTAATTATTTTGTTTTTTCTTTTCTTCCTTTTATTTTTTGTAATGACTGACGAATGTAAGGGAATTGTGCATTCTTAGAAACACAATAAAGTTATTATTATTATTATCACATCCTATACAACATATGAGACACGGTTTGCAGTGTGTGGCTCATCTTCTGATTTCAATGAATCTGAAAACAATGCCAGCGTCTCCTCCTTGGTGGAAATAGTGCTATTAAAAACCCTTCAAAATTCTCATGCACAAGAGACTCTAGAATCAACTCACAATAGTTTCACCCAGAATATCAACGGACCAATGTCTAATGAATCATGAACTCGTTTAACCCCATTTTAAGCAATTTTTTACACACCAACACGAAAACGCCCACAGAGCTTTCCTTCTGCATTAACATTAACTTTGTAGATGTTGCCCTAAAGAAATCAATGTGGAATGAGATGCTGTAGACTCTAGATTTTTCATCACATCGTTTGGGATTCAGGTTCTTTGCATGAGTTTTCCTCATCACCTTTTGAGATTAGAAACGTACACTACTTCTTGATAGGAATTCTTTGGCGGATTTTTGCACCTCGTCTGCAATCGATTTTGGTGGAGTGAGGGTAAATGTCTTCTTATAAAAGACGTTGTCTTTACCAAGATATATAAAAAACAATTTCGTCTCAAATCGCCGAGGTTGCTTGCGAGCGAGGCGCTACTACGCAAAGCGAACGATTTCATGTTGATATACAGCGGTGTGTCAAATGTCTGGAATATAACCAATAACTTCGCCATTTGTGGATTTAAAGAAAAATGTTTCAAATACAAGTATCATTATTAATCGTGACGCATTTTTTGTCGGTATTTGCTTGTTTGTATTGTTTTTTGTTTCGTTGCTATAGCAACCAATATTGTTATTTTAAATGGGATGCATATATTTTTTTGCTCTATACGATGCATGATTTCTATCACCGTACCCATACAGCATTAACATTTGGATTCTTTGTCGTATTGCGCCATATTTGTTTAAACTGTCAATTTTTTGACATTTAAAGCTGTCAACGGCGCTATTTCGGCGCCTGCTTTGAGTGTAATTTGCTGATTTAATATTTTCAGAAAACGCATTTTCTCTCGATTTTTTTCTTAAACAACCATATAATTTGATATGTTCATCCCGTAGAGGGATTTATCTTCTATCAAAATATGTAAAAAAACATATGCATCCCATTTAAAATAACAATTTTGGTTGCCATAGCAACGAAACAAAAAACGACAACCTAAACCTTGACGTCACAGAGATGGGCGGAGCTTATACCGACTCCAAACATCTTCGTTGCTAACGATAAATCCCCATATGCCAAGGATAGTAGAATCTAACAGGACTGCTACATTCATTGTATTTTTGCAGCCTACCACGGGTTGGTTGCCCGCACTTTACGTCACACTATTTGCCACGAATGGTAACTGTCTGTGTTTTTAGAGGTTATATGATAGACATTAATGCGTCTAAAAACATAAAACGTACGATACAACCTCTAAAAATACGCAGCAAACGCAAAGACCACAACAACAGCTGGGCGTGGAAAATGGGGTGACGTAGTTTGCTGGCAGGTTGTCACAACATTAGATGTAGCAGTCCTGTTAGATTCTGCTGTCCTTGCCCATATGCAATTTTTCAATAGACAACCTAAGCCTTGACGTCAGAGATAAGCGGAGCTTATACTGACTCCAAACATTTTCGTTGCTAACTGTGTTGCTAACGGTAAATCACCATATGCAATTTTCCATTAGTGTTAAAATAAAATAAACTAAGTGATGACATTTCAAATGACAATTTTTGGCGATTTATCTTAGCAACTGTGGTTAGCAACGAAATTGTTTGTAGTCAGTATAAGCTCCGCCCACCTCTGTGACGTCAGACTTAAGCAGTCTATTAGTGTTAAAATAAAATAAACTAAGTGACATTTTAGATGACATTTTTATGGCGATTTGTCTTAGCAACTGTGGTTAGCAACGAAATTGTTTGGAGTCGGTATAAGTTTCGCCCACCTCTGTGACGTCAGACTTAAGCAGTCTATTAGTGTTAAAATAAAATAAACTAAGTGACATTTTAGATGACATTTTTATGGCGATTTGTCTTAGCAACTGTGGTTAGCAACGAAATTGTTTGGAGTCGGTATAAGTTTCGCCTACCTCTGTGACGTCATAGATCATCAAGATATCTATGGGACGATTTTCCTCCAAATCGCCGAAGTCGATTGCGGGCGAGGCGCCACAATACTGCAAAGCGAACGATTTCATGTTGATATATAACATGTAACGCCTCGCCCGCAAGCGACCTCGGCGGAGTGATGATAAATGTCTTCTTATAAGAGACTTTGTATCTTTACTAAGATATCTATGGAACGATTTTATTCTAAATCGCCTAGGTCGCTTGCGGATGAGGTGCTATAATCCTGCAAAACGGACGATTTTGTGTTGATATATCAAATCTAGCGCCTCGCCCACAAGCAACCATGGCGGAGTCAAGATAAATGTCTTCTTATAAGAGACTTCGTATCTTTACTAAGATATGCCAAGGTTGCTTGCAGGCGCGGCGATAGAATTCTGCAAAGCGTACGATTTTGTGTTGATATATCAAATCTACCGCCTCGCCCGCAAGCGACCTCGGCGGAGTGAGGATAAATGTCTTCTTATAAGAGACTTTGTATCTTTACTAAGATATGCCAAGGTTGCTGCTTGCAGGCACGGCGATAGAATTCTGCAAAGCGCACGATTTTGTGTTGATATTTCAAATCTAGCGCCTCGCTCGCAGGCGACCTCGGCGGGGTGAGGATAAGTGTCTTCTTATAAGAGATGTTTGAGATATCTATGGGACGATTTCACTCAAAATCGCCAAGATTGCTGCGGGCGGGGCAGTGGAATTCTGCAAAGCATTATGTGTTGATATATCAAATCTAGCGCCTCATCTGCAAGCGACTTCGGCGGAGTGAAGCTAAATGACTTCTTATAAAAGACTGTATCTTTACTAATTGTAAGATATCTATGTGACGATTTTACTCCAAATCGATGAGGTCGCTACCTTCAATAATCAACACGAAATTGTCCGTTTTGCAGGATTGTTACGCANAGACTGTATCTTTACTAATTGTAAGATATCTATGTGACGATTTTACTCCAAATCGACGAGGTCGCTAGCTTCAATATATCAACACATACTTGTTTTGCAGGATTGTAGCGCAATTAAATCGACAAAATAGTACTTGTACCAGAATTTGTTACCATATAATTGTGAAAAGTTTGAGAATCACAGTTACTTAAAGGAAAAATAATATTTGAGTGTTGATTTTGGAAAAATAATTATTTGTATCTTACCTATAAGTAGCCTGACTTTACTCTCAACCAAGCCGCACCATTCGAGATGATCCTCAGCGGTAGCAGCACAGACGGAGAGCATAATAAAATGTTTGTACTTCATGAAAAACGGTGGCGGTTCAAAGAGACGTTCCCACGGCTGTTTGCCAAGAATTATTTCCTCGGTTAGATTCAGGCCGCTCTTAAACTCCTCAATTAAAATCGATCTGGTCGACGTCGAAACGTTAAACGTCGAATTTTGTTGAGGATACGCCGGAGTTATGATAGGCATCAGATGATACCTATCCTGTACATTTACCTAAATAATTAAGTTAATGATTTTGTTAACAACTAAACAACGTGTAAAAAACAAAAATTAATATATAAGAAAATTAATAAATATCCATAATCCAACAATTTTCAGTATTTACATCCACGAAGTACGTTTGATGAGGTTAGTATTTAATTAAGATTAATAAGAAAAGGAAATTTTCGTTTCAAGTTCATTTTGAAATGTATCCCGTTTCCTCATAAGATTCAAACATAAACACTCTTTCATCCCAGTTTGTATTCTTAAACATTATTCATCACCTTGCATACAAACGAAAATAAACCAAAAAAGATTAAAATATATACTTTTTATAAAAAAATCCACATATATTGCTCATCCACCTTGAAGAATTATTATTTTTTTCTGCAAAACGAGCAAGATTTTTTTATAATAACCCAGTACCATTTATGAAGTCGGAAATTAAATTTACAACTTACCCTAGGATCCCAAACCGCGAAACCTAAATTTACACTAGACGGTTGCTTCAAAAGTACAGGTTGAGGCCAATTCCATTTAGAGAACACTAAGAAAAATTTATGTACTAATGTGGCCGCGACGGCCTGGGGATATAATTGACACGTTCGTGCCACTAACATCGCCCATGACACGCCCCCCAAATATCCTAATGCGTTACTGTAAATACCGTGACCTAAAAATACATTGCAAAAAAAAACTTCTTTCTGATTTTAGTTACAACGTACGTTTCGCCCATAATTTAATCGTCCTTAAAGCCAGTCTAAAATTATCTACGTTAGGAACGAGGCGTAAAATTTCGTCAGTCACCCTACAACCATTCAAACTTCGAACGCACTTAGGGTCCAAGTTTTTCAGTAACATGTCGTCTTGGAGGTCCATATTTTCCGGGATCTCTTTTAACGATAGCTTTGCGAATAACATGTCAATTTCTATGCCATCGAATTTCATTTTTATTACCGGTACAAAGGCCTCTTCCACAGCCTAAACAAAATAAATTGTTTTTGTAAAAAAACAACAAATAATGAATTTTTGAGTAACTTACTCTGAGATCAGTTACTTCAGGCTGCTGTCGTAGTAATTCAAAGAACGTTGTAAAATAATCGCTGCGATTTATGTGTCTAGGTGCTACGCAAAGCGCATCAATATCAGCACCTTTATTGTATACCTAGAAAATAATTATTTGTTTAATAATTTGATGTTAAATATCCAATTGAAAATGGTCCATTAGAAATACAGTCAAATCTCGATAATAAACGAACTTTATTTCTTTGTATACAGGGTCGCTGATATGTAAGGAAACGGTCGGTTATCTCCTAAAGTAAGATAGCTAGCGAAAAATGTTAAGATACAAAAGTTTTAGTGTTTTTTAAAATCTATTACAGTAAACACAAATTAAGTATACAATGTCACTCAAAAGGTTATGACGAAACGAAGTCACCTTTTCTTTTATGGAACACCTGTATGTTATTCCATATTTTGATTCATCTCGAAATTCTAAACAAAGTCGTTAGAGATAGTGAACTTTGAAAATCACTTTTATAAATTACACAAAAATATTTTAGTCGTTAATGTACAAAATTCACCAAGTTACCTTTGCAAGTGTTTCATCTCCATAGCAACGCAGTGACATGACACATGTCAAATATGCAAAAATAGTTTGAATAATTTGCGCCCAAAGATAAATTACGTCACTAATTAGATAAGTTCGTAAATTTTTAAAAGCTCGATATACCGAAAACGGTTAAGTCTACATGAATTTTGTTTGGAATTTCGAAATAAACTAAAATATGGAATAATATACAGGTGTTCCATTAAAGACAACATAACTTTGTTTCGTCATAACTTTTTGACTGACCTGTATACTTCATTTATAAATTTATCTTTATTGTAATAAATTTAAAAAAACACTAAAACTTTTGTATGTTAACATTTTTTGCTAGCTATCTTACTTTAGGAGATAGCTGACCGTTTCCATACATATCAGCGAACCTGTATATTAATTGTAATGAAAGTTTTGTCATTGTTCATGACACCAAGACAGAGTTTCTTTAGCTACTAAAGAAACCAAAAAGTACTAAACCGTCTATTATTCACTCAGAAAGCAGTGACCTTATTGTATGTAATAACGAACATGTATATTATTGGATAGAGTTTTGTACCGTATTCAGCTAACAGCGTTATTTGTCGTGAATGTAAAGATACTATACAATTTGAGGAAGATGGATAGTGTCTGTAGTGTTTGGATAGAGAGTACAGAGAATATGAAAAAAGCGATAATAGCCACTAATTATCACATATGCTCTACAGACAAACATTCAAATCATTAGTACTGTTCCCTAGAAGCTGAGAGTTGGTGTGAGTAGCAACAAGCTAAAACAACTCTTTCTTCTCTGGCTCTACAGCCTTGGGCTGTCTCAGAATATCCTTCCAGCCTTCCCTGTCTCCCGCCCTTCTTCGCCATGCTCTCATAAGTTTTAGATCCTCTTCTATATTTCTCTATACCTCTTGTATTTTAGGTCTGTTCAATATTGCTATTCTTGTGGGTTCATCTTCCTCCATTCTTATCACATGAACCCATTTCAAGCGGTTGATTTTGATAAATTTAACCACGTCCATGTCGTTGTATGCCTGATATAATTCAAAGTTATATCATCTTCTCCATAGTCCGTTTTCAGCTAAAGCAACTGGGTTGGATTATTTAGTGAAGCATCCTCTAGCACTTTATCCAGATGTACAAAAACTTGTGCTAGCATTTTATGAATATATCTCCTATCTCAAGATAATTTCCTAGTCAGATGTTTTGGAGTCTACAATCAGAATGCTAACGAAAACTTCAACTCGACGGAGTGGCGATTAACCCCAAACCACCTACATTCGGGCTTGGAAATAATTGAAACTTCTGCTTTTGTTAGGGCTAGCCTGCTTAATGAAGGACACAGTGTCATTTTAGAAATGATGAATTCATTGTCCATTGTTATTGACAGGCAAGCTAAAATATATTCCAATAAAATGGATGAACAATGAATTATTCGGCAAGGTTATGAACAGCTGATTACGAAAAGTTGATTTTATAAAGAAACAGAAGGTTTATGGTCCTGAAATTGCATACCAGCTGGTAAGTAATTGGAAATTGAACAAAAAAAATTTTGCTATCCAAAACTTTAAACAAGGATGTAGTTACCAATAGGCTGAAAAGACTAGAGCGGCAGTTTTTAAGAGACTACATAATTTACCTCATTGAAAACTCGATGGAAAACGTAAAAAAAGAACACGATGGATGTTATGTTATGGGTCGTAAATTGCAAATAAATTATTTTATCATTTTTGCAAGAAATAAATCACACGTTGTGAATTGTGAAAGTGGATGTTGTAAAACTAGAATTAAAGTAAGTTCATTATTATTATTCAAAAATGGAAAATTCCTAGAGGTTCCTTTTTTAATAGCAAACATGTCGGATCGCAGAAACGGTTAAGGGGCGCCCAGTATAAGAAAATCGCTGAACAAAAACGAAAACAACAAGAAGAAGTCAGTTCTAAAAAATAGACACACTCTTTTAAAAGGATGCCCTGTAATTAATGAATCTAAAGCGGCCCTTACACAATCAATAGTATTGACAATATAACCATCAATCCTCGTGGTAAACAGTCTCAATACTTCACTACCTTACACGATGAATATTATTGTCAATACTTTTGTCAATAAGCTACCTTTTTACCACGAATAGGGTGAATCTACGTAGTTTTACTCGGTTATTTTCCCTTCCAAATATGGATAATCATACAAAAGCTTGCGTAGCTATTATTTTGGCGCTTGGTACTACTCGTCGAGTGAAACGCAAACACTGCATGGAAGAATGGTTAAAGAAGAGAGATTAATAATCTCATCTAGTACTGTTGAAAGTCATCAGCCTCTGCGATGTAGATGATTTCAAGAACTACTTTCGAATTTTTGAAAAGACAGGATAGCAATGTGAGAGAAAGTACAAGAGTTAGGGAAAGATTAGCCTTAACCCTGAGGAAACCTGTGAAACCTTTATGTATGTCCCACAAGACAATCAACTGGATGAACCAACAGTATCTCCATCGTGTTGAACGTCAACAACGTCAGTTAATGGGTCGGTCATTTTCACCACTTCTTCACAACCGCGCGGCTTGAACTGAACTGAGTGTAATGTAGAAAATAAGAATTATGAAGAAAACAGGAAAACAAGAAAACAAATGACTTGTTTTCAAATCATCTGAGTTAAAGTAACATATATTTTTTAAGTGTGTTCATAGACCTGTCTTGTTATTGTTACAATTAAATAAAAGTATTTATGTTTGAATGTTGAGTTTATTACACTGAGTATTGATGGAAATAGTGGCGCCAACCCTACACAGTCAACAGTATTGTCAATATCTCCTCCAATTTTCAGAAAATGTCGATTTTTATCAATACTGCATCAATATTTACCGTCAATAAAATGTTTCACCAATCAATATGCAAAGGTATTATCAATATTATTGATCGTTTAAGGACCGCTTAAGTAAACTGTTGTGGTTGTACACGAAGTTATTCCTTTTGACAAGCAAGAGCAAGCTGTTTCTGAAGAAGATGAAATCGCAACGAATTAGTATCAACTGCAATGTGTATGAACCTCAGAGTCAACAATTTCCAGATCAACTGCAACGTCTAGCAATGCCATTGAAAATAACACTTCTTCAAATCTTGTTACTACTGTGGATATTATAAAACCAGACAGAGATCCAGTTAAATGGGATATAAATGATTCAACCATCAATTATTTTGCAAGTACATAATGGCTTTGAACCAGAGATAAATTGTTCTAAATCGAAACGTATTTATCCTGAACAGGCAAGGTATTTAAACCCTAGAATATTTACTAGAAAATTTGTGAACGGCGAACAAACGCAAAGAACTTGGCTGATACATTCAAAAAGTACTGGTCGAGTGTTTTGCGGCGTTTGTAGATTATTTAACCCATTAACGCCGAGAAATGCCGAATAAGTAGCTGTGTTTACTGGATCTATATGGTACTGGTAGGCGCTAATGGGTTAAAATTGATACATACTTTGGGTTTGACGATTAGAAATAATATTCTATATATAAATATAAATATAATATAAAAATATTCGCGTTGAGCAGCACGAATCATCTCATTCGCACAAATCATCAATGTTGGGTTCAAATTGAGAGGATCACAGACTGGAAATGTGAATAAAATGCTATTTTCGCAAATTGATGAGGAAATTAACTACTGGAAGGAAATATTACAAAGTGTAGTTTCACTTGTGAACTGTGTTGTGTCTTCAGTGACGCTCTTCTAGTAATGGAATCTATTTAATGGCAATGGAATTGGTGGCAGAGTTTGATCCATTCTACATGCGCTCAACAATTTATGAGGAATTTGTAAAGAAACTAGAAGAATTATAGTTGATGAAGTTAAAGCATCCAAATATTATTCAATAATTGTTGATTCTTCACCAGATTTGGTGCATATGGATGAATTGTCCTTCATAATAAGGTACATGCAAGAGAATGGAAATCCTGTGGAAAGATTTCTATTCTCCCTACCTAATACAGGTCACAAAGCAGAAGAATTAACAAAACCCATACTAGACACACTTTCAGAATTAGATGTATTTACATCCAATTGTTGTGGGCTGTCATATGATAATGTCAGAAATTTATACAGTATAAGTATGTCCCTGACTTTAAACGCGATTTTCTCAAACCTACATTTTTACAACACTTGAAGATATCTCAAAAACTACTTGACCAATCTTCCTTAAATTTGTTACCACCAGATAAACTTAACAGCGCAGGGAAAAAAGGAGTATTTAAATAGATCAAAAATTGTTTGAAGCTTAAAATTGTGTTAATTTAAAATATTTTGTCTGTTATACCCAAAGTCCATTTTAAGGAGGTCCATTATATCGAGATTTCACTGTATCTAGAAAAGATAAATAGTTATATTATATACAAATAAATAATTAACAACAAATCCACTAAAATAAGTTCAAATTCAAAATATTTGTTGATGATTCAAGATTACACTTTTCTAGGCGTTTCTAATTATTATTATTGTATTATTTATCTCCATGATGTAAAACATTTTTTATTGTTTATCACATTTAATGTAGTTTGATAAAATATAGGAATAATATTTTTAAACAATTACGCACTTTTACTAAGAATGCCAATAAAATATCTACATACACTTCAATAAGAATTCCTATAAAATACCTTAAAAATTAAATGTATCCCACAGCAAAACTTTTAATAATAATAATAATACATACCCCAAGTCTATAACTACCAAATGTATATATTTTCCCCCCAACATTGTCCGCAACACTTTCAGGCATATTACGAGCTATCGACACATCCTTAATCCACTTCTTAACTAGACCATATAATTTTGAAAGTACATCCATTCGATGATTAAGTTCCTCGTCACTTTCAAACACGCCATAGGGTTTTAGGGCTTCCTCCAACTCGGTGGTTTTGGCAATATCGCTAGGTCGAGGTGGCGCAGTGGATATCGCAGAAGTCATACCGTACGTTTGAGAGTTTGAAACATTTTGCTTTGTTTGTTGTGAGTTGGGTTGGGTGGTCGTTTGACTGCCTATTTGCGCTGGCCACATTTTACTGAAACACCAAGTTGTAGGAAGTCATTATAAGATATCGCGAAACCGCGACAAGTTGATATAAACAAACCATAAAACGCCGGACGCCACACTTAAATTCGGCATACACGTTTATCTTGGTTAAATTTGGTTAAACGTTACTTACATTTATACAAATACAGTGATTAGAGTATTTACTTTTCATATATAAATCACAAAAACATTCCTTTTATAACATAATACGCGAGCAAGACAATGACATGTGTTGTATTGGCAACCCTGCAAACTTTACTAACGCAAATTTCTATACTAACGACATCTATCAGTTAATTCATATTGTAATTTTTGATTTTGTGTATTTTTTTTAATTTAATATTTTTAATACCTGTATTGTTACATTAAATAATTTTTTGGGTAATTTGCAAAAATTTTATAAAATATGACCTTGTCATAAAAGAATTATTTGGAGATATTTTATTACCAACTGTTGCCAACGTTTGGTTACAGTCACGTCATTCAATCTCCGTGAATACACGTCAACGTCATCTTTTCCGATCCTTTGGAATGTTTAAAATAGGATAAATCCAATAGTTTCGTTTATGTTTTACTTGTTTTTATCGTAAATAAGACCCAACAACCATGGTAAGAAAACCAAATAAATTCGCGCATAATTAAAGTAAACATTTGCTCTCTAATTGTTTTGTTATATGGTACCCTCTGGTAAACCGTGTTTGTGTTTTTTTTAGGTGTTAATAGCTGCGGCGGTGTGTACAAAAGCTGGAAAAAGTAAGTATTTGTGTAATATCTAATACTTTTTCTATAAAACTATGTGTTTTAGCAATTGTCTCAAGACAATTTGTAGAAATGACTAAAGCTCGCATTGAGGGGCTTTTAGCTGCATTTCCAAAACTTATTCCTGCAGGAACACAACATACTTTCGTCGAAACTGATTCAGTTCGATATGTTTATCAACCTATGGAAAGATTGTACATGGTTTTAATCACAACTCGAGCCAGTAATATTTTAGAAGATTTAGAAACACTGAGATTATTTGCTAGGGTGGTACGAACGATTAAAAAAGCTTTTTTTCAAGTTATCTCGCATAATTATCATTGTTTTAGATACCTGAGTATTGCCGTTCATTAGAAGAAAATGAAATAGCGGAAAATGCCTTTAATATTATATTTGCGTTCGACGAGATTGTCGCTTTGGGTTATAGGGAGAGTGTCAATTTATCTCAAATACGAACTTTCGTCGAAATGGATTCTCATGAGGAAAAAGTTCATCTTGCCGTTAGAATGGTACATATCTGATTATAATGATTATTATAATTGTTATGGAATAGTGCATAAGCCATTTTGGGGGGTGAAAAATTCCAAGTCAGGGCGAAAGTAGTAAGCTAGTAGAGTAAAACCTCCAAAGGGTTTGATGTTTTCTCAGCCCAAACTTTTTTTTTATGATCTTTTATATTTTTTCCTTATTTTGACGTTTGTTTGCTTAGTTTTTCAGTTATAACTCAAGAACGATTGATGATTTCTCATTTCATTCTGCAGCAAAATTGTAGCTAAGGCTTAAATAAATAATTTTTATTAATATATCCATGTAAAAATTAAGTTAGACTAATTTTATCGAATGAAATCTTTGAAAAATTGTCAAATTATTTCGAAAAAAACAAATTCTCTTTGAAAAATAACGTCTTTACTTGAGTTCTACGAATTGTAACTGTAAAAAAGCATTGATTTTATGGAAATTATTAACAAAAATTAAGGAAAAACAAAATTTAAAGAAGAACAGAGTTTATTTGTTCATAAACATTGCTCTAGACTTTTCAATGGTGATTATTCTTGGCTAGTGTGATTGCTATCGCAATCATCACTGTCATCAGTTTCTAAGTTCTACATAATGTCAATTTCTGGCTCCACTGCTGGCTCTACTGCACCTTCTGAAAATTCTTCATCATCAAGATTAACACATGCCTACCTAATTTCAAATGGCATAGCAACTTGATGATAGCGTTTGGTTTTTCCATCAAATTAGGTGGCCAATTATCTGCTGAAGTAGTCCAGATGATGATATAAATAATAAATTTTCAAGGACATTTGGACGCCAATTTTCGAGAACGATGTTAACCTGTTAACCTTCTATTACTTCTTTGATTGCCTTCCAAGCATCCAATTCAGCGTCAATCAAAACATTGTTGAATGCGTCACTTTTAATTAGCTTTCGTATATCTGGACCATTTAGTACGCCTGATGGAAAAAATGAATTTATTGCGATACAAAATATGTTTGTAAAAATTGGAATTTTCCACGAAATTGAAAAAATGATAATGTTATTATAACTACTTTTTTTAATTTTACTTTTGCTGAGTCTCTGGTAAATTAATTTCAAGTACAAGAAAACTGTATCTCTTTTGGCGACAGTTTTGATGAAATTGTTATCAATTCTAAGTTTAATATGCAGTGAAGGCAGCAATATCTTCTCTTTCAGCACCAGAGATTCACGAATAATATTAGCCATTTCTAACCTGCTCTCTGTGTCCCAATCGCACAAAAAGCACATACAGTAAAACCTTGTTTAGCGCGGTAGATGCGTTCCTGAAGATAAGAGCGCTAAACGAAATAGATTTCATTTTTACACATAGTAAATAGGGAAATGGAAATATGCGACCAAAACTAAACAAATTTTGCTTTAATTTTAAACTGTAATACTAGTAATTTGCATTTTATATAACACAAACTTTTGCATAAATATATATAAAGTTTGTATTTGTGATGATGAATGTCTTGGTTCTTTTGTTATTGTTGATTTTTTGGCGAAGAAATCGTCTAGAATCATTTGTCGCTTTCTTTTTCTTTCATTAAGCAAATGTCGGTGGTAGGCGATCGCATCCAAAATTCCTCTTCTTACTTTTACACTCCTGTCAAAATTTGGGTCATTAGCTATAATTTGATCTACTTCGGTTATCGTTTCTAAACTTTTTTAAGAAAATCTGTAGTAACTTCTTTCATTTCATCGTCTTCAGAACCTTTTTTCGCCTTCTTCAATTCCTTGTTCTGCCAGTTCCTGAAGGTCGTCGTTGGTAAGACCTTTACCAGAAACCTGCAGTAGCCCCTCAATACCCTGCTCATCTACATCTCCTAGTCTTTATATCTTTATCTCCACCTTTTGTTTTATCAATAGGTTGCTTAAATGTACAGTCATGTTCACGGGAAATGCACACTCAAGGTCAAGCGCTGTTGTGAAATCCGACACGCCGCTGGCTAAACGGGCTGAGCCGAGCGCACACGAAGGTCGTGCCTCGTGGGCGTTCGGCTCAGCCAGATAGAACATTTTGGCATAGGAATGTAGCCCGAATGAAGCCATGGTTTTTGTCACTTGCAACATCAACGATTTTCTTACCGTTTTTCTCAATGCGGCTCCTTTATTCGCATATGCGTAGCAATTCAATGGATTGTGACCGTCGCCAGGTTTAGTCCAAATTAGTGGTGGAACGGATATCCGGCAACTATCCGGCCATTTTTTAAAATCCGACCGGATAGTTACCAAACATCCGGCTTTGGCCGGATATTAAAAACCTATTACTTAGTACTCCACCATTCACAGGAATTAGTATTTCTTTTAGGTGTTGGACACTGTAAATAATAAGTCCAACCCGAATAGGACTTTATTTATATCAGGTTTATCATTAGCAACCTCATTGTAACAATCCCAATACGATATATAAAATCTCTTGTTGCAGTTTCGTCTAATTTTCTTCTCTTCGGTTATAATTCATCATCACATTCATTACTAACAGAACTGCCGCTGTTATCACTTTCGATTATTAATTAAAGTATCCTCTTTTTAATGCAAAAACCCGTTTTGAAAAATCACTTTTAGTTCTTGAGAAATAAATTTTTGAAATAATCGACAATTGTTTCGAATTTTGCAATTTCCGCCAATTAAGTTTCAAAAATTCGTATAAAATCAATTTCTTGGAATATGAGTCTGAAAATTTGCCAAAGTGTTAATAAGAGTGTCCTCTTGCCAATGAACCAACCCGATTTGAAAAATAGCTTTTAGTTTTTGAGAAAACAATATTTGTAGTTTATCTCATTTTCGATGTTGCAATTTTCATCGATAATTTTCAAAATTCGTTATAAAATTAATTTCTTGAAGGATCCTTGTAGAAATATCACCAATTATTATTTAAAGTATACTCTTTTTTATATAACAAGCCGTTTTGAAAAATCGCTTTTAGTTTTTGAGAAATAAATTTTTGAAGTGATCGACAGTTTTTTCGAATTTTGCATTATTCGCCGATTAAGTTTTAAAAATTCGTATAAAATCCATTTCTTGGAATAGGAGTATGAAAATTTCCCAAAGTATTAATAAAAGTGTCCTCTTTCCAATGAACCAACCCGTTTTGAAAAATAACTTTTAGTTTTTGAGAAAACAATATTTGAAGTTTTGATAAAATTTTCGATGTTGCAATTTTCATCGATAATTTTCAAAATTCGCTATAAAATTAATTTCTTGAAGGATCCTTGTGGAAATATCACCAATTATTAATTAAAGTATCCTCTTTTTAATGCAAAAAGCCGTTTTGAAAAATCACTTTTAGTTCTTGAGAAATAAATTTTTGAAATGATCGACAATTTTTTCGAATTTTGCAATTTTCGCCGATTAAGTTTTAAAAATTCGTATAAAATCCATTTCTTGGAATATGAGTATGAAAATTTCCCAAAGTGTTAATAAAAGTGTCCTCTTTCCAATGAACCAACCCGTTTTGAAAAATAACTTTTAGTTTTTGAGAAAACAATATTTGAAGTTTTGATAACATTATCGATGTTGCAATTTTCATCGATAATTTTCAAAATTCGCTATAAAAATAATTTCTTAAAGGACCCTTGTGGAAATATTACCAATTATTAATTAAAGTATCCTCTTTTTAATGCAACAAGCCGTTTTGAAAAATCACTTTTAATTCTTGAGAAATAAATTTTTGAAATAATCGACAATTATTAATCAGCATCAAAAAAGTTCATTTTGTATCTTGGATCGAAATAAGTTGACATATCTTATCAGCTTTCTAATTGGGATACCGAATGGCATAGGTTCACGTCTTCTATTTTTCCAATCCATTAGACGATTGTAATAACTTTTACACATTGTGGTTGAAGTATTTTTTCCCTTTTTTTCATGTTTTGGTACATATTTACCACAGCAATAGCAAAAGCTATTTATATCTGGCTTGCACACTTCCATTTTTCGCATTGAATTGAATGTTTATGCCCATATATAAGTTATACGTTTCGGCTGAGAACGTCAAACCCTTTGGAGGTTTTACTATACTGGCCAAATACTACTACGCACTTGGAATTTCTCAGACAATGACCCCCAAAATGTTTATAATTATGATGACAAGAATATAAGGGGTTAATTAATTTTTTGTGTGTTCTTAGACACAAGAAAGAGAAGCAAAGAACAAAATGAGGGAAAAAGCTAAAGAATTACAGCGCCAAAAAATGGAAGCGAATAAACGTGGGGGGAAAGGTGGGTTTTCTAGTAGCACAGGATTTGGTAATTCAACCGGTTATAATCCAACTCCAGTCGTTGGTGATGTATCTAATATAAGCAACGATATTAAACCACCGTCTTACACTGTACAGTATGTATTAAAGTCATCATTTTAATTTGTCGTCGTATTTCAAGTAATATTTAATGATAAAATAATATCATTATAGAAAAACTACTGCTCCAGCACGTGGTATGAAACTAGGTGGAAAATCGAGAGATGTAGAATCATTTGTTGATCAATTAAAATCAGAAGGAGAAAACGTTCACACTCCAGTATTAAATAATGTAGCGCAACCCGGACATAAAGCTCCAGCTATAAAACAAGAAATGGATGGGGTTCATTTAAGATCGGAAGAGAAATTAGTCGTTCGGATGGGCCGCGATGGTGGGGTGCAATCTTTCGAATTACTTGGATTGATTACTTTGCACATCGGTAACGAGCAATGGGGACGTATTCGCGTTAAATTGGATAATTCTGATAACAGAGGGGTGCAATTGCAAACGCATCCTAACGTTGATAGAGAACTCTTTAAAATGAGATCATTGGTAACTCATTAATTAAAAAAAAATAACTTCTTTGAATAAAATTAAAACAATTTTTAGATTGGATTAAAAAATCCTGCAAAACCATTTCCATTGAATACAGATGTAGGCGTGTTAAAATGGAGATTACAAAGTACCGAAGAGAGTTTTGTTCCACTTTTGATTAATTGTTGGCCTTCAGAAACTGGAGATGGAGGTTGCGATGTTAACATCGAATATGAATTAACTCATACTGATTTGGAATTGTCTGATGTTAACATTTATATTCCACTTCCGTAAGAATATAAAACAAACAAATAGTAATTTATTAAAAAATGTTTTGTTTTTAGTATGGGAAGTAAACCGGTAGTGTCAGAGTGCGAGGGAAATTATACGCACGAAGCAAAAAGAAATCAACTGATTTGGTCATTAGCCTTAATTGATTCAAGTACTAAAAATGGTTCGTTAGAATTTTCCGTGCCGAAATCGACTCCAAACGATTTCTTTCCGTTAACGATAAACTTTACTTCTAAGAGTACATATGCTAAAATTAAGGTGGAAATAATAATTTTTTTGTATTTATTTCTTAATTATGTCTTAATTTTTTTTTATAGGTAACAGATGTATTATTTGTGGATGATGATTCGCCGGTTAATCACAACGTGGAAACGGTTCTCTTCCCAGACAAATATGAAATTGTTTAACATTAGTTACTATAGCGCACTAACAATTATTACAGATAAACAACAGCTATTATTATTGTATTTGTTGCTTTTTGTACAAATAATATTAATGAGGAAAGAAAATTGTTTCACATCATGTTATTATTTTTTCAAATGTAGCGAAATAAATCATTTTGCTTGGTCAAATATCGCTGTTTATTGCCAATTATGAATTTAACATCTAAACGTTCCTAATTTACTTTTGATGTTCTTTGAATGGATTTTGTACAAAAGGCAGCGTTTTAGTATACTGTTGATTACTTAAAGTTTATTTTTTTTTCAATTTCAATTCTACATAAATATTTAACGTTTTATATACATTTGTACATAATGATATAACTAAAATAGTTGTAGTAATAAGGTGCATATATGATATCACATACAAAAATTTTTTTGGTGTATTGATGACATTTTATTCAGCTCAAATGTTGAGAAATTTTCTTTTGATTCAATCTTAATAAAGTGTGCAACCTCTTTATTTTTCCTATTAATAAAATTTTATTCTTGATCTGTTTGAAATAGTTTAAAGAAAAATTAATTTATTATAAAGAAAAATTCAGAGATTCTCATCAGTTTTATGATACTCCTCCCAAGAGAACTAGTTAAGAGTTGTTAGGGTCTGCAAATCTTACACATCCGTTCGAAATTAAATCAAAAAATTAATTTCTTTGTATTAAGAGTCTTGATAAGGCATCATACATTGTTCGCGTTGCTTTATGGCTATCATGCTACCCATCTATTTCAAGATCACTTGTTAAGAGTACCATAATCTCAACTGCTGCCTATGTTGCTACATACTAAGTGCCTTGCTGCAATACCAAAATGTGGACAAAGTAATCCAGAAGATCACTGTTCTAGTCTAAATTAAAACGCAACCTTTTTTCTATTTATAGTCTAAAATCCAATCAACCTTTTTGTGATAAACGTAATTTTCTATATACTCTTATACCCTCTGTATACTTTCTGATGATTCTGTTAATTCCACACTTATTATTGAATTCTGGAGACTTAGCAGAGTAATTCCCGACTTTTTCTTCTAGCTTAGATTTCTGTCGGTATTGTTTCTGTTTTTTCATACAGTTACCAGGCTAATTCTAATTGTTTTTGCAGTTTCTAATAGGTCAGATTAATTCTGGACATTTAGTTTGGTGTCTTACTAGTGTCATTCAAGAGTTATGCATAAAGTCTAGAGTCTTGCTGGCTTCATTTTAGACTTCTTGTAGTCTAGAAGCTGGCTTAATTTTAGACTTTTTGTAGTCTAGAATACTATAGAACATAATTCCTAGCTTTTTCTTATGAACAGGACATTTCCTTGTAGTTGGATTTGCTGATTTGTGTCTAGTCGCTGTAACTCCAGATTTGCTTTTGAAGTCCGGAATCTAACCAAAGCAATCTGGACTTTTGCTTGTAGTACAACATCTATCAAACATAATATCAGATATTTTCTTAAAGTCTGAAGTTTTAAATAATACTTATTTTCCAATATAATTCAAACTCTAGTAGCTTAGAATTCAGTCAGCTAAACCCTTAGCATTTCCTTCTACCTTAGATCCTGGTTATCGTCTTTAGTAGCTGAAATTTCAGACTTGCTTTTGAAGTGTGGAGTCTAACCATAGTAATTCCAGACTTTTGCGTGAAGTATGGCATCTATCCAGCACAATTCCTGATCTTGTCTTAAAATGTGGAGAATTGCTGGTCTAATTACAGATTTGTTCTGACAGGCAAAAAATCCTATCGTAATTCCCAACATTTTTTTTTAAGTTTAGATTCTTGGTCGCGTCAATATAAATGATTATTTTGCTATATGGTGTCTGGTCCAGAATCTCAGCTACTGCCTATATTGCTACTTACTAAGTATCTTGCTGCAATGCCAAAATGTAGACAAAGTAATCCAGAAAATCACTGTTGTGGTCCTAATTAAAACGGGACCTTTGATTAATCTGTATATAACCAATATTTATCAATTGTGTACATCCATCTATTTATAGTCTAAAATCCTATCAACCTTTTTGTAGCATATTGAAATTTGGCCAGCCCAATTCCTGATATTTTCTTGAAGTTCGAGGTTGGCAAACGTAATTCCAAATTTTTTTTTTCTATATACTATCAGATGATTCTGTTAATTCCACACATATTTTTGAATTCTGGAGACTTACTTTAGCAGAGTAATTCCAGACATTTTCATGTAGCTTAGATTTCTGTCGGTATTGTTCCTGTCTTTTTCTTAAAGTCACCATGACAATTCTAAATTTATTTACAATTTCTAATAGGCCAGAATAATTCTGGACATTTTGTTAAAGTCTGAAATCTTGACAGCATTATTCCTGACTTTCTCTTAATGTTTGAAGTCTTACCAGTGTGGTGAGATATCGTTCAGCTTAATACACTTTTTTGGACATTTTTTTCTAGCTGGAGCCCCGGTTAGAGTAAGTCCAAACGGTTTCTGCTCGTTAGTGTCAAGTCGCTGTAATTCCAGATTTGCTTTTGAAGTCTAGAGTCTAACTAAGGGAATTCTAAACTTTTGCTTATAGTATAGCATCTATCTAGCACAATATCAGACATTTTCTTAAAATCTGAAGATGGTCTGTGTTTAAATACTCATTTTCCAATATAATTCAAACTCTTTAGAAGCTTAGAATTCTGTCAGCTAAACTCTTGACATTTTGTTGTACCTTAGATTCTGCTTAGAGTAAGTCCAAACGGTTTTTGCTATATCGTGTTTAATAGCTGAAATTTCAGACTTCCTTTTGAAGTCTTCAAAGTAATTTCAGACTTCTGTGTGAAATATGGCATCTATCCAGCACAATATCTAATCTTGTCTTAAAATCTGGAAACTTGCTGGTGTAATTACAGATATCTGCTCTATGATGTCTGGTCCAGAATCTAAACTACTGCCTATATTGCTATTTACAAAGTGCCTTGCTGCAATGCCAAGATGTGGACAACGTAATCCTTTCTATTTATAGTCTAAAATCCTATTAATCTTTTTGTGGCATATTGGAATTTGACCAACGCATTCCTGATATTTTCTTGAAGATTTGAGGCTGGCAACGTAATTCCAAATTTTTTTTGCTGTATACTTTCTGATGATTCTGTTAATTCTACACATATTTTTGAATTCTGGAGACATAACAGAGTATTTCCAGACTTTTTCATGTAGCGTACATTTCTGTAGGTATTGTTCCTGTCCTTTCTTAAAGTCACCAAGATAATACTAAATTTGTTTGCAGTTTCTAATAGGTGAGAATAATTCTGAACATTTAGTTAAAGTCTGAAATCTTATCAGTGTCATTCAAGTGTTGTTCATAAAGCCTAGAGTCTTGCTCGTTTAATTTTAGAGTTCTTGTAGTCCAGAATTCTATAGAACATAATTCTTAGCTGCTTCTTGTAATTTGGAATTCGTTCAGCTTAATACAGGACATTTCCTTGTATCTGGAACCTCGATTGAAGTAAGTCCAAATTTTTGCTTGTAATATAGCATCTATACAGCACAATATCAGATATTTTCTTAAAGTCTGAAAATGATCTACACTTAAATACTCATTTTCCAATATAATTAAATCTCTCTAATAGCTTAGAATTCAATTAGTTAGATTCTTGGCATTTCCTTGTACCTTATATCCTAGCTAGAGTAAGTCCAAACGGTTTTTGCTATATCGTGTTTAGTAGCTAAAATTTAGACTTGCTTTTGAAGTCTGAAGTTTAACCAAAGTAATTCCAAACTTCTGTGTGAAGTATGGTATCTATCCAGAACAATTTTTGATCTTGTCTTAAAATCTGGAGACTTGCTAGTGTAATTACAGATTTGTTCTAACGTAATTCCGAACATTTTTTTGAAGTTTAGACTTTTGGTCGTGTTAATATAAATGATTATTTTGCTCTATGGTATCAGGTCGTTGTTACAGATTTATTCAAATGTGGAGCCTGTCCAGAATAATTCTGGAGTTTCTCTTGTAGCATGACGTCCATTCTGCGAGATACCAGACTTTTTCTTCAACTTTCCAGTGTTGTCAGTGCAATTATATACTTCCTCTTGCTATTCAGCGTTCTATCCGTATAATTCTAAACTTTTTCTTGCAGTTTATAATTCTGCCAACGTAATTCCTGACACTTTTGAAGTTTGGAGGCCACTTGAGGAGCCTAACATTTATAACACCGTTACGATAAAGTGGCAGAAAGGACATACTGGAAATAAGGGCAGCTAAGAAGTCGTTTGTATCTCTAACTTTTAATACAGCTCCAATCGAGCTTTTTGCGATAGATGGGATGAGACTGCAGTAGGTGTCTTTGCAAAGAAAACTTTGCTTTAACCTGATCGGAAGAGATCTACTCAGTTCCTGGCAAAATTAAAAAGTGACTTAAGGCTCCTCACCAACTTCCTGACCGGACACTGCAGTTTATATAAGCACATGTTCTACATGAAGCTGGCGAATACATCCTTCTGTAGAGGGTGTGAAATGGAAGACGAAACTGTAAGTCGTATTGTTTGCGACTGTCCCAACCTCGCGTACTTAAGGGAATCCACTTTTGGCGTACCATGGCCCCAAACTTGTTCTGATAGGCAAAAAATCCTAACATTTTTTTGAAGTTTAGACTCTTAGTTGCGTATATAAATGATTATTATCTCTATGGTGTCAGGTCGTTCCAGACTTATTCAAATGTGGAGCCTGTCCAGAATAATTTTGGAGTTTCTCTTGCAGCATAACGCCCATTCAGCGAGACACCAGACTTTTTCTTCAACTTGCCAGTGTAATTATATACTTTCTCTTGCTATTCAGCGTTCTGTCTGCGTAATTCTAAACTGTTTCGCGCAGTTTATAATTCTGCCAACGTTATTCCTGACACTTTTGAAGTTTGGACTTTTCTTCAAATAAGTCTAAACGTTTTTTTTTATTATACAGTTTCTGTTCAATGTAATTCCAGGTTTATTTTTGCAATATGGAGCATGACCAATACAATTTCAGACTTTTTTTTTGCAGCATAACATCCTGTTAGTGAGACACCAGACTTTTTCTTCAACTTTCCAGTATTGCTATTTAGCGTTTGGTCCGTGTAATTCCAGATTTTCTAGCAGTTTGTAATTCTGCCAACCTAATTCCTGACATTTTTGAAGTTTAGATTCCTGTTCAAATAAGGCTAAAGAAGAAACCTTTAGCCTTATTTGAACAGGAGTCCAAACTATCTGATCCATGTAATTCCAGACTAACTTTTGAAATGGGAAATGGTTATAAAAGTTTAATATAACACTAAATATAGTTTCAAATACTATTATATTTAATTATTATAAATAATATACAAACAATAAAAAAATGCATCAATAATCCAGTACTTGAGGCCTAAGTTCCAATCTATCAATAACCTCTTGTGGCATACAAAACGTAGGATTAACAGCTTTAATATTTTTATATCCCAACAATGACAATCCAGCTATACCAAATAAAGTATGATAAGGATCAGTGATATCTCCAGGTCGATCACTAATTCCTCCAGTTTCAGCATCTTGACAAGCCAAAATAAAATCTTCCAATTTAGTTGAACTGATCCAATTGACTCGTCCCAAAATAGCCAAAGATGCCAAAACCCACCAAGAATAACAAACATCAGGTAATTTTTCAGGTCTACCGTTTAAACCTCCTGAAGGAAGTTGCCTTTCGCAAAGCCACCAAGCCAAAGTGTCTCGATCGACAATATCTAAACGATTTGTTATCGATAAAAACCCAAGGCAACAATAAATTAATCCGGCATGACTTTCCGAATGGGGGCGAGATCCAAAACCCCCATCAAAGTTTTTACAACTCTCAACAAACTCTACAGCTTTTTCAACATCGATTGCATCTAATCGTTTTAATAAGGAAAGAGTTGCAACGGCGCAAAATGAAAATCTGGTGTCAATTTCACCCCATTTATCGCCTGAGAAACTTCCATCAGGTTGTTGTAAACTCACTACGTATTTAACGATTCCTTCTACATCAATAACATCCAATCTATCATACATACACAAGATTTGTACAGCACTTAAAGTGTGTAATAAATGCGGATCATGCCCAACACAAGCGCTTATTCCACCAGATTCGACATCTTGGCATTTTTGAACGAAACTTATCACTTCATCTTGTTCAGATTTTCCGGTTTTACTCACCAATTCTATCGCGGTCAAACCCCAATACATTCCTGACATTCTAAGATAATCGGTGATTGCGTATTCGTATTGATCTTCATCCTGACCATATTTTTTTATAAATTCTATGTGTTTATTTATTAACAACGTTTTTTCTCGATCTGGATTTAATTCAACATCTTTTATATGAAGTGACATTTTGAGGTTAAATGACAATTAAATGACGTCACATGAACGTATTTGATAATGGACAGGTCTTTATTATTTAGATTTATTTTCATTGTATTTAAGAGAATATAAACTGAAATATGTGATTTAAGTAATTAGGAATTGTTTAAATAAATTTTTATTATAATTTAAATGTAAAATTAATTAATAAATTTTGACATATTTGAACCGTGTACATATTTAGAACAGTCTATGAATTGCAATGTTGACGTTTTGATTGGAAAGTGGAGTTTGTGAGGTTATGTTCATTTGCATTATTCAAAAAGTGGATATTGGGTGTTAACACAAATGAGTTCTAAAAACGAAGAAATTGTTACAGAAAATGAAGAATTAATAACAATAAAAGATGAGTTGACTATCGAGGAAACACAAGTTGAAACCGAATTGTTTGTTAATGGAAGTAATCAATTTGAAGTCCAACAACAACATTACCAGTTATTAAATCTAAATGAGGATAATAACGAGCCATACATTATTCTTTCTAAAGATGAAAACTCCGAAATGCCTTCTGCTATTTTACCAGATTTACCTTTAGATTATGATAGAACAGTGCAGATTAATCAAAACGAAATTTACCAATCTAATGTATCAAATGTTAAAGATATAATACAGGATAAAATTAATTTAAATGATTCAAATCTTAAAAGTATAATACAGGTGAAAGTAGATAAAAGTAATGAAAGTGTGTATAATTTGAATGAATCGAATGGTAAATCAGTTTACCAGTATTTTCATTTTAATACTCCTGTTAAAATAGTTGGATTGCACACAACTCCTCCTATCCTTTATGTAAACCAAGAAGAGAATTCAAGTTCAATAGCAACATCAAAAAAAATAACAAATCCTCCTCCTGATCAATACAAATGTGGTTTATGTAATTTAAAATTTGACAAAGCAGTAGATCGGAATAATCATATTGTAAGTCACACCATTGCGGCTACATATAAATGTAAAAGTTGCCAAAAAGATTTTCCTTATGTCACCGCTCTCTTGAATCATCTATTTGGAAATATTTGTTATAAACAGTTACCTGTGCAATGCTTCCATTGTAGGCATACTTTAACAACATTGGATAGATTACAATCACATCATCAATTAGAGATGAAGAAATGCAAATGGTGTAACCTTAAAATATGCGGAAAAGAAATCTATGAAGCACATTTGACGATATGCCGCTTTAAACCAATGGACATAAGAAAAACACAGCCACCAGAAATAATCGATTTGACTGTCAGCGAAAGAAATGTTAAAAGAATTAAAAAAGCGAAATAATTTAGTTTATGATAAATAATATACATTTTTTTTTGTACTTTAAGAAAATTAGTATTAAATAATCATAAAATTGTAATATATTTATTTTATATGGAATTTGTAATTTAATTATATTGTTATTAACAATATATTTTAAATATGATTACTATAAAATGCGTTATGAGAACTTTTTGTTTTTATAATAAAGTTATAGTAAAGTTCATTAAAAACGTGAAATAAATAAAATTTTGAGAAATTGTATCTAGTTTATTTGTAGGAATTAACAATAGATTTTTATATTAAAATAAAGGCTAATGATTTATGAGTTAATTCATAAAATTTATGAGAAACCTAATTATTAAACTGTTTAAAAATGACAAAGTTTAAACCAACATTTCTATTTTGTTTATAGGAATTAAATAATTTCTGTGTTAAATTAAAGCTTAAAGTGTCTGTTTTTAGATTACATTAATGTTTTATGAGTTGATTCATAAAATTGATGAGAAAAATAATATTCTTGGATATTATGGATGACATCTTTAAAAATGTCAAACTTTAAACAATCATTTCTAGTTTATTTTTAGAAGTTAACAAATGATTTTTATGTTAAATTAAAGCTTAAAGTATCTGCTTCAAGATTATATACTNTAATTTAATTATATTGTTATTAACAATATATTTTAAATATGATTACTATAAAATGCGTTATGAGAACTTTTTGTTTTTATAATAAAGTTATAGTAAAGTTCATTAAAAACGTGAAATAAATAAAATTTTGAGAAATTGTATCTACTTTATTTGTTGGAATTAACAATGGATTTTTATATTAAAATAAAGCTAATGATTTATGAGTTGATTCACAAAATTAATGAGAAACAATTATTAAACTGTTTAAACATGACAAAGTTTAAACCATCATTTCTATTTTGTTTATAGGAATTAAATAATTTCTGTGTTAAATTAAAGCTTAAAATGTCTGCTTTTAGATTACATTAATGCTTTATGAGTTGATTCATAAAATTGATGAGAAAAATAATATTCTTGGATATTATGGATGACATCTTTAAAAATGTCAAACTTTAAAAAATCATTTCTAGTTTATTTTTAGAAGTTAACAAATGATTTTTATGTTAAATTAAAGCTTAAAGTATCTGCTTCAAGATTATATACTGCTTTATGAGTGAATTTGCAAAATTAATGAGGAAAATTTGTTTTTAACTAAACCTATTTATTGGTTATGTCATGACATATTTAAAAATGTCAAATTTTAAATAATCATTTCTGCTTTATTTATAGAAGTTAACAAATGATTTTTATGTTAAATTAAAGCTTAAAGTATCTTCTTCAAGACTATATTAAAAATTTATGGACTGATTCACAAAATCAATGACAAACATTTATTTTTAACATAACCTAATTATTGGAAATTAAGTATGAAGTCTTTAGAAATGTCAAACTTTAAACAATCATTTCTAATTTATTTTTAGAACTTAACAAATGATTTTTATATTAAATTAAAGCTTAAAGTATCAGCTTCAAGATTATATACTGCTTTATGAGTGTATTTGTAAAATTAATGAGAAAATTTTGTTTTTAACTAAACCTATTTATTGGTTATGTCATGACACCTTTAAAAATGTCAAATTTTAACCAATCATTTCTGCTTTATTTATAGAAGTTAATAAATAATTTTTATGTTAAATTGAAGCTTAAAGTATGTGTTTTAAGATTATATATTGCTTTATAAGTGAATTTCCAAAATTAGTGAGAAAATTTGTCTTTAACTAAACCTATTTATTGGTTATTAATTAGTCATGACATCTTTAAAAATGTCAAACTTTAAACAATCATTTCTACTTTATTTATAGGAGTTATCAAATGATTTCTATATCAAATTAAAGCTGAAAGTATCTGCTTTAAGGTCATATATTGGTTTATAAGTTGATTCACAAAATTAACGAAAAAATTTATTTTTAACATAGCCGAATTATTAATTAATAATAAATTATGAAGTTGTTAAAATGTCAAACTTTAAACAACCATTTCTACTTTATTTATAAGAGTTAACAAATAATTTTTATATTAAATTAAAGCTTAATGTATCTGCTTCAAGATCATGTAATGCTTTATGAGTGGATCTATAAAATTAATGAGAAAAATTTCTTTTAACAGAATCCATTTATCGGTTGAAAACCATGCCATCTTTAAAAATGTGAAACTTTAAACAATCATTTCTACTTTATTGATAGGAGTTAACAAATGATTTTTATATCAAATTAAAGCTTAAAGTATCTGCTTTAAGATCACATATTGCTTTATGAGTGGATCTATAAATTTAATGAGAAAATTTTGTTTTTATTAAACATAATTTTTTGGTTATTATGGATGATGTGTTTAAAAATGTAAAACTTTAAACAATCATTTCTACTTTATTTATAGGATTTAACAAATGATTTTTATATCAAATTAAAGCTTAAAGTATCTTCTTCAAGATCAGGCGTTATTAAAGAAAACTGTGTTTCAATAAATATAAAAGCAATTAATTATGAATCAATCTAAAAAACTCGAAATGACCTCAATTTATATCATAAAGTTAACTAACAATTCATAATATTATTTAATCGTTATAATATTTTTAATAAGTTATTTAGAAACGTTATTGATCGCTTTTGCACATGTCATTTAACTTCAGCCAAATTCCCGGAAGCTGCTTTTGATCAGTTAAAATCGTTACAAATGTTTTCATAAATTTCACATTAATCAATAATAACTATAAAAATGTTCATTTTATCAACATTATTTATTTATTTTCTAGTGTTTCCCAAAACTTGTAAGTACACAACAGTTTTCAAGTTTAAATTATCACGTTTAATTATTTATTAAAGGGTGTATTAATGAAACAAAAAATTTTCAAAAAGGCGATTATCACAAAAATAATTATGATACTTATTACTCTTTAAATCCTGATAATGAAACGATTGATTTAAATTCATTGATAATTCCTATTCCGATACATTTTAATCCTCGATATGGAGTTGAAGCCCCGGAAATTGAATTGCCTGATGATTCTTTGGCTGATGTTGATTTGAAAGATCATGATTTCATTGATAATCTTATGTATGTGTATTTTGAGAAGGATAAAGGGGATATTAACCATGGGGAGACAATTTTGTTAATTGGTACTGGTGTAAGTAGTGTGATTGAGTTTGTTACAATGGTTTCAGCTGGTATGCATCAAAAAATTAAATTTGGGATACAAAAAGGTGCAAAGATAATGTTTTTGTATTGGTTGATTTGTTTATTTTTTTCTAATATACTCTTTATGATGAATCTTTCTGTGAGTATATCTAAATTTTATGATTATTATTATTAAAAAAAATTTTGTTTAGGTGAATATGCCTATTTACAGCTGCGAATTCACATCTTTACTCTTTTATTATTTACATATTGTGATTGCTTCTTCACTATTTATTTATACATTATGGATAAAAAACGTTTTAAGAAATAATAAATATTCACGAGTAAAGTTTCTGATATTTTTAGAGCACGTTTTTGCACTCATTCTTTATCTCGTATCACTTTTATTTTCTTGTACTCAAAACGTACGTCCGATTTGTTATATTTCAATTCAAAGGGAGACCATTTTTGAGTACACGGTGCCGATTTGCATTTTGATTTTTGCAACAACTTTCTTTTCGTTAAATGGGATAAGAAGAGTTAACCTGGAACTATCAGACTTGGGTTATGACTCCACGGATTTTCAAGTAAAGCACATTGAAAGTGGAATTTTCGACCCCGTGGTTGAACACCGCATTTATACTTTAAAAGAGTTTAAGAAATTGTTGAAAGTATTGTGCGTTACGCAATGTTTTTATGAGATCGTTTGGTTCATTAGCGTTTTGGCCATAGAAAATTTGAACGAGAATAATTTGGCTGCAATTACTTATGGGGTTATATCGTTTATTATGGTAATTTTTTTTTATTTGAATTTGTTTGATTTAATTCGTTGTTTGTAGAATTGTTACATTTTTTGGAAGAGGAAGGTTTTTCTACCACCTGCAAGTGAGAACTCTTATAATGATGGTGTTAAAGGAGCTGGAAAGATTATCGATGTTGTCTCTGATGGGTTATTAGCTGATGATATTCCTTTATTGATGGACATTGAGAGCGATGTTGATATAGCCGAGATAAAAACGGATTATATTGACGATGCTATAACTAATTAAATATATGTGCCAATAATCTTTAATTGTTGTGGAAATATATTCTCTTCAATGTTAAAAATAAAAATAAATGTGACAATATTAATTTAATGACAAAATTTTTTATTTCTTTAAAAATAAAATAAAAATTAGAAACGTTTTACGAAAAATTTATTTAAATTTGTTTTACATAACAGTCACAATATTATATTAAGTAAAACAAAACGAATAACTCCCATATATTCATACTTTTTCGCTATAATTAATTATTAATTTAATTCAATCGGCTAGAATAAACATTTCGTCAAAATCGAACTGCTGTGTGTGTGTCAGTGTGCAATTAAACCACTTAACTCGACTTTAAAATCATTTAAAACTTTGCTATGGCACTTTAATTAATTAATTTAAAATTTAACTTCCACCACCACTCAATTCATCTTCGTATTGTTTCCTGAAGCAGTCACCCACAGGGAAGAAATCCCAACATCTTTGCTGGTACATGTTCCAAACGTACGTTTCCTGGCCAGTGTGTTCAGTATCCGGTTTATTAATTAAATGCATCAGGAAAAACCTACAACTCAAATCAACAAAAATTCTTTTTTAACATAATCATTACTTACATGTAATTAGCTAAATTATGTTCTTGTTGTACGTGGGTATCAAACCCGTGGGGTACACTGTCGAAGTACTCTTTAGACGTTCCACAAATGAAGCAATTTGACTCCATATCGTTTTTGACACTCTCCAATTGATCACGGAGTTCACCGAACGCGTCAATAATCAAACCTAAAACGGGGAATTTATTATTTTTATAAGATGAGAATGAAATGAGTACCAACCCTGAATGATAGCCAATAAAATAATGATGACGAAGAAGAAGAATGTTATATCAAACAAAATGCGATAAACTTCGTAATCATCGCCATCAGGAGGTTCGATTTCATCACCTATACCACCTCCGGCTCTTACTCCTTTGTATAAATGAAACACGAAACACTACAACAAATTTTGGTTATTAATAATATAAATTATTGTGTTAAAAACGCCTATTTCAAAAAAAAATTAAGAAATAACCTAAATATAATAAATATGTAATATAAGAAAAAAAGATCATATCTTGTTGAGGCCTAAGTGCTACAATATCAATAGAGATGGAAAATTCTCGAGAAAAAAAAGAGGTTTAAATTTTTAAAAAGATGTTTAGAATATATTTGGCGTAAAAAAATAATTTATTCTTTGAAACAACAAAAAACAAGTATTATTTTAAGAAAAGCACTGAAAGTTATTTTTTGTACTCATAGCATCTACAGAGTGTATCTGAATGACTGCAACAAACTTCAAGGGGTGATTCTTTAGTGAATTTTAAGGGTACTTTCATATATGAACCATGGGCGACTTCGGCTCCCCTAAGGAGCTACACCCCTCCAAAAATGGCGGAAAATTTTGGTTTATTTTTTTTTTCTCGAAAACCATAAACGCTAGGAAGATGAAGTTTTGATGCTATTTGTACTTTCAACCTACTCTTCTAAACTACTAAACGTAACCACCCCCGTTCAATTTATGCCTAGATTTTTTTTATGAAGATGATAAATACTTCAATGTTAATTTGTATGTATAGTGTTGACGATAACAAACGAAAATAAATACAATAATAAGTAAATAAATAAATAATAATTATTAATTTAAATTTACCGCCAAAATATCTAGTGATATTTTCTGGTGATTTTTCTTAGTGTAAATCTGACTTTCGCGTTTACCCCTCCTGGTTTAAAAACAGAGTATAGATACCTATTTCCCGCACAGAGAGGACGTGCGGGAAACGCGTTTTCCCGCACAAATGCTTTTTTGTTACCGCAACTAACAGGAATATTTAATGACCAAATGTGCATGTTTATAAGAAAAGGTTAATAAGAACGTTTTATCCATTTGTGTGCAGATAACACAGTTTTAAAATATTTAAAAAAATCTATAAAAATCAATTTGCAATCAATAAAATCAATATTGACGTTTTGAATTTCGGTTGATTTCAATGGAACAGAAATATAACGGGTGTTACTGACTTTTTGGCGGACACTGTATAGTTGTTACTTGTACATATTTTTATTTGATATTCACCACATAATACGCAGCGGCATACATAACAAATTGTTGTCGTCATTCTCTTCTTCACTGTAGGACCTGTAGGACATCACTTCTTTATTGCTCTCATTTACGAGTTACAACTTGTCTTATAACTATACATATTGTATATTTAGTTGCCTACCATGGCCCGGCTACAGACATAAACTGCAGTAACTTCTTTTCCCTTTCCCTTGAGGATTTTCCTGTTTCTATGCAGGCTGATTTTGTAAAACTTGACATAGAGTCTTTCAATTTTCTAGCCTTTCTTGTTGCCATGGTCTGGTGAGTTGTTTTTGAAGTTTAAAAACAAATTCTTGCCTTGATAATGGTTTCTGTCCTCTTTTTATTGCATTATGGTTATATATGACATAGAAATTAACTGCTGCAATGTTGAGCATTATGTAGAAAAATATCCAGTAACTCCATCGGTACTTCTAACTTATTTTTACGGGGAGTGGCAACTTTTGTGAGATTGTATGGTTTATTCAGTAGTTTCGTGGCCAAGGGAATACTGGTAAACCAGTTATTCATTGTGATGTTGCGGTTGCGGGTTACTTTATCTTCTTCATTGTCCTTCACATCACTAAAATCACTGGCTTCCACAATATCATCCTGTAATTCTCTGTCTTTGAGAGGCCTATTTCGATCTAATTTTCTGTTTTTCGACATATTTCGACGTAAATTAGATGTGGGTTATTATTCTAGGCTTAATATCGACCCCAAACAACTTTTCCACCATACAACGGGATGTAGTTTTTCCACGGGTTTTAAAACATATCGTTTTCCAAATTAGACCTTCATCAGATAGATAAAGAGCCAATTCTGCCATTATTTCTGCAGACTCATCTGAGCTTGTTGCAGTAGCGATATTGTCTATAAACTCAGTTCCTTATATTTGTTCTCCTCTATTAAGATGAATTCAATTAAAATTTGGATCTAGGCAATTTGCAGCAAAATGGATTGGATTTATTACAATTTCATTTGTTTTAACCAAGGACAGTAGAATCTAACAGGACTGCTACATCCATTGTTGTGACAACCTGCTCGCAAACTACGTCACACCATTTTCCACGCCCAGCTGTTGTTATGGTCTATACGTTAGCTATGTATTTTTAGAGGTTATATCCTAGACGTATTCATATTATTTTTGAAGTTTTATGTTTTTAGACGTAATAATGTCTATCATATAACCTCTAGAAACACAGACAGTTACCAGGCGTGGCAAATAGTATGACGTAGAGTGCGGGCAACCAACCCGTAGTGGACTACAAAAATACAATAGATGTAGCAATCCTGTTAGATTCTACTGTCCTTGGTTTTAACTAAAAAATTTTTTACTTCCCTATTTCCTTTTGGCTAAGCAAATGCCTTGAGGAACCGGCTGTTTCAAAATGACTCTCCAACTGATAAAAACATTCAGTTACTGGGCTTAACCTTGGTTTATCTCCTCAATAGGGTTTATTTGGTGATTTTGAAACTTTTACACAAAAAATATCCTCATCAACAGAAATATATTTGTACTTTTTATGAAGTATATTTCTTGCTTTAACCATTGCTCTGGCATTGTCGGCTACTATAGCAAAGAATTTTTCAGAACCAACTTCTTTCAAACATTTCTTGGCAAAGTTTTATAAAACACAGGATTTGGTGTACTAATAATGAAATTAAGTATGGATTCGTTCCTTTGGTTGCTCAAACTATCACACTGTAAGCTAAGAGCATTCGCTTCTCCAATTTTCATTTTAATGTCTGCATCAATTTTTTCATACTCATCNCTGTATATGACATAGAAATTAACTGCTGCAATGTTGAGCATTATGTAGAAAAATATCCAGTAACTCAATCGGTACTTCTAACTAATTTTCTGTTTTTCTGACATATTTCCGTCTGCTTTTTACGTACTTTTACGTACAGTGCCTAATCTCGCACCTATAAAAGCTAGATGCGAAATGACAGCAAATTGTCGGCACATTCCTATCGTAAAGGAAGACTGGGGGAAAGCATTTCTAACGCGACAGAGCGCTAGGTGCTTTTTGAATAAAACAATCGTTTGAGGAATATTAATACGTAAATTTGATGTGGATTATTATTCTAGGCTTATTATCGACCCCAAACAACTTTTCCACCATACAACGGGATGTAGTTTTTCCACGGATTTTAAAACATATCGTTTTCCAAATTAGACCTTCATTAGATGGATAAAGAGCTAATTCTGCCATTACCAGACTCATCTGGGCTTGTTGCAGTAGCGATATTATCTATAAACTCTGTTCCTTGTATTTGTTCTTCTCTATTAAGATAAATTCAATTAAAATTTGGATGTAGGCAATTTGCAGCAAAATGGGTTGGATTTATTACCATTTCCTTTCTTTTAACTAAAAAGTTTTTTACTTCCCTATTTCCTTTTGGCTAAGCAAAGGGCTTGAGGAAAGGGCTGTTTCAAAATGACCCTCCAAGTGATAAAAGCATTCAGCTACTTGGCTTAACCTTGGTTTATCTCCTTCCAGTTGGATTATGTATTTACCAATAGGGTTTATTTGGTGATTTTGAAACTTTTACCCAAAAAATATCCTCATCAACAGAAATATGTTTGTACTTTTTATGAAGTATCTTGCTTTAACCATTGCTCTGGCATTGGCGGCTACTATAGCAAATAATTTTTCAGGACCAGGGGCGGACTAAGGCCTAGGCAACCTAGGCACGTGCCTAGGGTCCGAAAATTAGGTTTTTAACTTTTATTTAACAGAGAAACGTGATATTCATAACTATTGCTGAAACGTATTCTTTAATTAGCAACAATAAAAAAAAAATCTGAGGGATATAAAACTATTATAATAAATTCAAAAAAATTTCTCATGATAGTGATGTTGGTGACTCTTCAATAGAGAAATTAAAATGTTATGAACAAGATTTAAACCTAGCAGAACTGAAAAATGAAGTATTACAATTTAAGACTTTTATAAGTAAAGAAATATTATTTCGCCTATATCCATGTTTCCATTCAGGATATAGGATAATATTCAGGAACAGTATTATTGCAACATTTCCTAATTTAAACATAATTCTGAGAATTTATTTAACCCTTCCAATACGCAATGCAAGCGGTGAAAGATCATTCTCAGTAATGGCCAGAATAAAGAATTTTTTAAGATCAACATTAGGCCAACAAAACTTAAATAGTTTATCATTATTTTATATAGAAAAAGAGATATTAAATAACTCTATTAATTATGACAAACTAATTGGCGAGTTTGCAGAATCAAAAATGAGAAAAAAGGCAATATAACTGATCAATCTGGGTATATTTGTTTAAGTATTATTGTTTGTTTTAATAAATTATGTTTACTTAATTTTTGTATATGTATATTATTTTTTTCCGTTTTTTTCTTGGAATCCGATAATTAAATAGAACTATATACTATATGCTTTAAAACTAAACTACCAAACGCAAAGTATGTGTCAAGACTGAGAAATAGACCCGGAATTACAATGTTGCCTAGGGCCCCCTTTAGCCTTAGTCCGCCACTGTTCAGGACCAACTTCTTTCAAACAATTGTTGGCAAAGTTTTATAAAACACAGGATTTGGTGTACTAATAATGAAATTAAGTATGGATTCGTTCCTTTGGTTGCTCAAACTATCACACTGTAAGCTAAGAGCATTCGCTTCTCCAATTTTCATTTTAATGTTTGCATCAATTTTTTCATGCTCAGAGTGCAGTATCGTTATTAAAGTAAAGTTATTTGATAATAAATAACGTGTAGGCTTTTTGAAAGATGCTCTCAAATGTTGGAAAAATGATTGCTAGTGATTATTTTCAACAATGGCAAATGGAATACTTTCAGCATAAACAGCTCTAGCGAATAGGTGATCTAGCTTTTCTTGTTCAACTTTTGATGAAACATCAATAAATCCATCAAGTGTGGAACTCGATGAGGGTCTGTTAACTTCTGATTCTGATGTTGCTGTATCATTCACAACCATTTTAGCTAAAAATAAAATTTAAGAAAAAAATTTCTACATTCATAGCTGCCATGCTAATTTTCTATCGTCTGTCGCAATGTTTTTCTAAGCGTACCAATCGTTGAAGAAGTAGAAGCAGTTATTGAAAAGAAAGTAGAAGAAATCTTTGTCGCCTACTCGGCATTTTAAACATCTTAATAAATGTTTCGTCATTCAAGTGGTATTTTTTATAAATTCAGCAGGGCAAAACTTACTTTTTCCATTAACTTTCTTCATATTAAAATAGTTCCATTCGGATTTGTCACAACTTTGTTTTTATCGTCCATTATTCCCGCATCTACCATGTCATATTTCACACAATAATAAATGCACAAACCTAAACACGTTGTGGGATTCCCGAACCTTTCGAGCTTTGTTTGGACCGACAGAGGGAAAACACTATGAGAAAATTACCTCAGAGAATATTCTCCTCCTTCATCTCTAAATATCAATCGAAATTTGTTTACTCATATTTAGGTTATTTTCAAATTTTTTTTTAAACTAACAAAACATATTTTACAAACCGTTAACATATCATGACATTTCTTATCCACTTCTTCATCTTCCTCTTGCACATAAAACTTTCTAAAGAAATTGAATGCTATAACTGTATAAATATAGACAATAATTGTTAAAAGTAGTACAGTTAAAACGAGTTGTTTCCCGTTATGCGTTACTGATTGCAAAATCGTTCTTAACGTTTTAAAACCGACGGCGACGTCCAATAAATGAGCGGCGAAGAAGAAATTGTTAAAATTCCCCAAAATTGAGAATGTGAAATACCACAAAGAATACAAAAATGAGTTATCTGTAATTGTAACCCCGGCTTTCCAAATTTGATATCTCCAATCAATGTTTAAGATATAACTGGCGATGCTTTTGTTTTCTTCTTCGGCGTCGGCAGCAGCAAATGAAGTCTTTTCCATTCCCAATAAGTTACTGATCGAATCGAAATCGTAAGTTTCGCTGTATTTTTGTCTAACTTTTTTCTTAACGAATTTATCCCAGTAATTAACGGGGAACGATTTTGCGGAAATAACAAGTTTATCCCAATGAGATTTAAAATCGTCGTCTTCCGGTTGTTCAGCTATAAATAATCCCTCGAATTCTAAGCGACGCGCGATTTCTTTTTCCCGTTTAAAAATGGCTAAAGGTACTTTGAGATGGTAGTAGGCGATTAACATTGCAAGAGATACTAATGAATGGAGTAACGCCGCCAATCTCATCACGTGGGTCATATAGTAAAAATCTTCATCCACCATCACCGTTTCTGGTAAATCCTCTTCTTCACTTGAGTCATCCCCACCACCTCCTGAACCACCACCACCGCTACCTTCTGCGGAACCGGATCCAAGAATATCCGGAATATCAAGATTGTTGTGACCACTTCCGCTACCATCTGTTTCACCAAATGTTGTAACCTAAAATGTTGAGGTAAAATCAATTTTGATAAAATAGGATAATAGTTATTTATTGTACAAGTGTTTTAGACAGCATTTTATAATGCATCTAAAACACGCATGAAATACAATGTTTTATCCACAATCACACTCATTTAGAATTAGAATCGCCAAAATTTCATCTGATGTTATCAAAAAATGATTTGACATTTCACTCTGACAGCGGCTGTCACCTCAAAAATCATTGCAATTAACTAAAAAAACATTGGGAGGTGTTGAATTGTTGCTATTTATTTTCGATTGTTTATCAACTCCATTTGTAACATATCTAAGTGTGAAAGTTGTAAAGGTTGTAAAGGTAAAGTTGGTGAAAAATGGAAGAAAGTGATATGACAAATCAAAGAATGAAATGTCTATTAATTAAGTTGCTCACAAAATTGAGTATACAGGGGAATGGAAGATAGATAATTGTGAATATTTCAAATAATTATTAATTTATTTTAAAGTTTGTGATATACAGTGTGTCCGTAAAGTAACGGATATAGGCGATAAAATCATAATAAACGGTTTATGGAAAAATTCATGAAACGGGTCTAAAGATTTAAATTTTTTCCGCCATTTTTAAACGAGTTATGGCGTCATCGATACTTTTTTTAAATGGCAATCCCCCATTTTTATTGCGGAATATGAAAGAGGATTTTTTTCTGAATCTAGTACAGTCAATATTAATATTGCTTACATTCGAGAAAAATTACTTTAAAGTTTAACTACTTCAGATTTGTTGACATGATGAAAATAGCAGTAGCCATGAGTAACTATGGTAACCAATTATTTTAAACAATTTCCAAAGTGTCAAAAACTGATTTAGTAAGTAGTTGACCTCTATAATACAACATATCCTGATCGCCAACTCATTAGCCAAAGTATGGTGAGCCTAGCTGTGACTAAATTTCGAGAGAAGTTTAGGTTGGTATTATGTTTTAATACGCTGTAGGCCCTCCATTGGCGTCAATTATCGCCTGCATTCGGCGTGGCATTGACTCCACTAACTTTTTGGTGTAGTTTGGCGATATTCTGTCCCAAATCTTACAAATTTCATTTCTCAATTCGCTTTTGTTTCGGCAGTTGCTATTTTTTAACTGAAATTTAACTTCTCCCCACAAACATTCTATGGGGTTCATATCCGGAGACTGTGGTGGTGTTTTCAGTTGTTTTGGTGTGTTATACAGGTGTCTCAGCGAGACCGGTCATTAGACGTTTCTGGGGTTCTGGCCAAAATAAAAATTCTAAAATTCAGACTTAAGTATTATCAATTGCGTCCTCTTCGACTAAAATATTTTCAGATTCCTAGCACTTCCGGTTATACCGGAAGTCGCCACCTACTTTATTTTTTTAAATGGAACACCCTGTATATTTTTACATATTTGGATTTGTCTGTTCTCAAGGTTTATAAACAACTTTCCTTTTTGCAATTTGACTCAGCCGTTTTCGAGTTATTCGAATTTTTCTAGAAAAATCTGCTCCAGCAGACATTTGTTCAAAAAATCAGAGAACACTCGATTTTTGGGATATCAATTTAGGATTCAGAACATGCTTAAGCAACATGATGGAGTATGTTTTGGTGCCGAGAACGGCTGTCTAGAACGTTTGGTCACTTTACTATGGCACGTTAACTTTTCAAAATTTGGAAGTACCATAACTTCATTTTTTTAAATGGCACCCCCCATATTTTATTTCTGTA